CGAGTGTCATTCTAAAATAACTAGGGCGTGCTGAACGGTGCAACGTGGTTGGGGCGTGCTTATTCAAGAGTTTGCTTGTAACAAACAGGTTCATCATCCTTTTCCATCCTTTTGTTTTTGTTGAGGCAACCTAATCCTTGTGTGCTTTGCGGGCAGAGCAGTATCCAAACATGTCATATGATAGGACAGTTCTGGTGTATAACCGAACTCAGAGAATAAACCATATATCTCAGTAAACGTAGGATTTGGCTCATCACAGTTGCTACATGAGACGTTGTCCACTGGTCTGCTGTCCGTATTATTCGAATACGTTGATCCTGCTCCTACAACTTGATTTAGAAAGTGGCACGCATTCACAGGTTGACAGTGTGGGCTGAATGGTTCTATGCAACTCAGAGGTGTTTTGTTGCTTTTACATGTTTTCTGGAGCGTCCGCATCCTGTAAATTTTTTTGGATTAGCATTTCAAACAACATGCCTGTTAGTCCATCTATACGAGTCTGCCAACACGCAGCATTATGCACAGCAAGCACCCATCCACTGTTCTGCCACACGTGCAATTTCTTGCTTCTTCGTTGCAGGTGATTGGCATTGGAAAGGCGTACATGCGACTTGGATTGCTTGAAGTAGCCTGATGTTGTCTTGTTTGGAGACCCTTCCTACTATCAGTCAATTCACAGACCTGCTAAACCAGGATACATGCCCAAACCCATGCAAAACTCATAGACATCTTGATGTCAGCTGTTTTTTTCTGTGTGTGTGTGTGTGTGACAGTCATGATGAAACAAAGAATCTCACAGTGCAGTGCCAGAGTTCTCCAAGTTTATCCTTTTTCTGCCTCATGGACATCATTGGCACCTTGTCCCTCATCGTAGAGTTTTCAGCAGTGAAGACGCAGATGCAACAGAGACTTGGCGAGGCGTAGAACACCATTTGATCAGAGCCAAACACAAATGACGCGAGCTCGAGTGCGTTGGTGTCCAACTTTTTTGTTTGCCTCTTTCCTGATGAAGGCTGCATGTCAATTTCCAAGCGCAACACAGTGGGTGTACAGTTGGAAGCAATTCAGTTCAAGTTTGAATTTGGTATTGGGAGGGCGACTATTTGCCAATGAAGCACCGGTCACCGGTCGCAGTCTCACTATATGCAATGCAGTCTCTCGGCGCTCCTCGTCTACCGGTCACCTCCCTCACTCCCCAACGTCCACCGTGGCATCCTCCGACTGCGTCGCCGGCCGAAGCTCGGTCCCGAGGAACAGCTTAACCCAGAACTCCGTGGTGATGCGCGCCACCCGCGCCTCCAAGATCGGCGCGCGCGCGGGGCGTCTCACGCGCCTCGTGAAGTTGACACCTGGCAGCAGCTGAGCGAGCTGAGCGAGCTGGTCTCTGGGGAGGTCGGAGGATCTTGAGGATTTCCCATGGATTTTCCTATGTTTGTTGCTGACTGGTGCTTAGTAGGGAATGAGAGCATGACCCCTCACTATAGATACCATAGGATCCACATTCTTTACTAAGCACCAGTCAGGTTGGGTCCGGTGCGGTGTGGAATGGTTTGGTCTAGCGGCTTCATGAGGGGCGCCAGTCATGCCGCTAGCTCAGACCATCCATGTTCGAGTAGGATCGTTTGACAATTCGGAGAGAGGTCCTTTGACCAGGAGGGTTCTTTCCATTGTTCTTGACCTTGTTGACCTACCATGTGGGGGGGTTATTAATCCGGTCTTGACATTACCGGTGCTTTTTGGTGTCAGTGTTTCTCAAAATTGGTCGCTCCAGCGTTGGGCTGGAGGAGAGGATAGTCTTCAGGACACCCGAGTCAAACATTTAGGTCAGAATTTTCAGGACTCTTTCTGTTTATTCCTCTATCGTGCTTAACAACATCCAACAACTATTAGGCGATGATGTGCGATGTTCCATGGCGAGAGTGAAAGGCACCTCCATCCTTGGATGGAGCGGAGCTGCACGCTTGTTCACCGCGTCCGGAGACAGGTTTACGCCCATCGTTCACTTGTGAAGACTTCGGTAGACTGGCGCCATTCCAAGGATGAGATTCCTTCCATTTCTGCGAAACCGGAAGCGTGCCGCCCCTCGGCTCAACGGCTCAGCTCCCGGAACGGAACACACCCGGGAGAGACGTGAACGGCAACGAGCGGCGTATGTCTTTGGCCGAGAAAAGCATGTTTGGTCTTCAGGCAGGGATGAAAGAACCATGGTTAGAACCTTTGGAGACCTAAAGATCCAATATCAAAGGGAGGTTGGATTTCACCAGCTCGGCAAGCTGTGTCGACGGTCACTCATTTTTCTTGCTGTTGACAAATTCCTGTACCACTATGGATACACTGTGGATATCTAATGGAACACAGGTAGTGCAGTACTTCGTTCATCAACCATCATCCACGGTCTCCAGCCATTTTTGTTCCTGTCTGTTCGATGCAGGCATTGTCACCATTTGAGAGGTGCTTAGATACAGGTTACTCTCGGGTCAAGTAGTTGTTGAGCATGTAGTGAAGCCTACATTGCAAGTCTCAAAACTCAACAAGCGGGCATTCCTTGTACGGGGATTTGTTCAGACATCCTTTTCTGAGCAGGTCTAGCTGTGTGACATCAACTGAAGTATAGCTGTAAAACGCAGCCAATTTGGAGAGCGCATGTTCTCAGCTGTTCATTTCTCGTCTCGACGAGACCTCATCACAGATGGTATTACCAGCTGGCGTTCCTAAGGATGATGGCAGCACTGCCAAGGCCAACTGCGAAACGCGATGGGAGGAAGAAACGCCCACGAAACCTTGAGCCTCCCGATGCCTTCGGGGAAGTAATGACCAAGTAGGCTTGGTGGAACATGTATTGTGGTGGAGTACATTTTGCGTCTGTCCTTTTTTCCTCTTACAAGGAAAGGCAAATGACCAGAACGCTGCTATTATATACCAACGTACATTGAGCTCTCGGAGACCAAAGGCTCTTAGACCACCTCGCCATGGAGCAAGATGTGACCTCGGCACGCCGAGTGTTTCTGGCGGAGCCCACCGCCGCCGATCACCTTGGATGGAGCGATGGAGGAATTCGGTCAATCCCTAGTTTTGCAAGACCATTGAAGAGGTTGTAGTCAGATATATGTCCACATGCCATTGTTTTCACTTTGAACCAGACTCCTTTTGCTTCCTTTGCTCCTGCTCGGTTCAAGATCACTTAGACTGGGTGTCACCACCACCACCGCCACCACCGCCCACATCCACATAACCAACTGGGCCTCGAACGCCTCGCGAGCCTCACGGGCGACAGACGGTAGGAGGGTCTCGACCGCCCCCTGTGGAAGGTGATCAGCTCAAAGCTCATCAGCCGAGTGTCGTCCATCGTGGCATGCCTCATCATTTTCTCAGTCCAGGTGGGGACATGGGTGGTACCTTGAAGGTAGGACTCTGATGACTACTCCTAATTACAGGCACTCCAGGATTGGGCGCAGTTTTGCCAGTTCTTTGTTCTTCCGCGTCAGGTTTCTTGTTTTGGTCTAGAAGTGGCGGAACATGGGTTTGAAGTACGAAGCATTTGTTGTGCCCAGGAATCCAGGAGTACTTGAGGATGTCAAGCTGAGGAACCAACCAATCCATCATTATATCATTCTGTTGGTAAGACACACAGTCTGCATGCTTGTCACATGTTGTGCGCTTTGGAGTTTGGTGTCAGCTTATGCTCTTGCATCGGTGGCTGTAGGAGAACAATGGATAAATATGATAACATGTGCTTTTCTTGGAAGCCACATACTCTCCAGAGAATTGGCAGGTGCTGCCTTTACCTGGATCCCTTGCAATGCCTTCTCAGGAGCCATGCAAGCACTTCCGATGTGGTGATGTCAAATCTAAGAAGCCATTTTGATCTCGTTTTGTGTGAGAGCAACGGGCGTAGCATGGCGTTGGCTTTGCTAAGAGCAATGGCGTACCAGACCACTAGGTCAAAGTACCTTTCTCAAGAAGCTACTGGGCGCTCCTGGCATCGCTACTAATTAGGAGGAAGGACGCTACTAGGGGCTCCTGGCCGTACTACTAGGAGCGATCGGACGCTACGAACGGAGCCAAGGGCATCGCTAGTAAAAAATGCTGTGCAGAGTCCGGTGAGAAGACATCATGGATTTGTCGAAGAAGCGCACCGATCACATCCAATCCGGCACGCGCTACGGGCCACGAGTCCAGCAGGACTTGTCTATCCAGATGTGGACTGCGCACCTTCAAAATATGCTGGAGGCAGGTCACGGGAAAGGACCTTTCTGAAGTCCTTCCCACGTTTGTTCAGCGCTTGACGATCTTGACGGTCAAATGTACAAGAATTCTAGTGGATGTTGAAATAGGGAGACCCCCTGGCCCACATCAGAAAAGCACACCAAGAACTGACTGACAGATCTGTGTCGTGAGTCATAATGAGTGACATTTCTCAAAACAATTGAAGAATTGAATATAATTGAATGGATCATAATTCTTCGCCGTCTTATTTGTTCACCGCGGAGAAGCAACTATCGTCATATATGTCTCTCTCCGTCATCAACAGGAGGGAGAAGAACTGCTGGTCATCAACGAGGTCTTGACGGAGTTTCGAGACGCTTGGCCAAACGTCCACCGACGCGAGACGTCACGCACGCGAGCTCGAGGGGGCGGTAGGAGGCCACGTTCCGACTGGCGAAGACGGTGGACAGACGAGCTTTGTTCGTTTTCTTCGTTTCGGGGGGTGTAGAGTCAAAGAAAGTGAAGTACATGTGGAAAAGGTGTGCGTGTGGCGCAAAAAGAGAAGACACTGCATTGGATTTGAGCTAGATTCAATAGATGGTAATAATACGTCTAAAAAGGGTTTTAAAGGATTTGTATCGACGACGTTTGGCTGCATACGTGAAGACGGTGCGGCGTCGATGGAAGACGTGTCAACCTTGGAAGGCATTCTATGAGCGCACGTCCTACAAGCCTTATTCTTTCCTGAATGGCACAGAGGCCTCTTTCTTTGGGAGTTCTCCACGGCGTTCGCAGCGGCGTTTTGCAGCGGAACCTGCATGGAAGAGTTGTCACAGCCCTCAAGTTTGGTTTCGGTGTTCTCCACTTCTCTGTGAGTTTTCTCTCCACTTCTCTGAATGTTTTCTCCACTTCGTTGTTTGGTTCTTTTACATAGAGTGTATTCCACATGGTCCGTTGCTCTTGACACCGGTCCGTTGCTCCGACGTTCCCATTGGTTGACCGCACAGTGCTCAGTGCTCATCGACAGACCGGTTTGGATGTTTTGATTGAAACATTTTGACTTTGATAATTTGATTTGGGTATATCTGGGTGTTTTCTTTTTAAAGTTCGAAGTCTTTCATTGATCAATTCCATCTATGAATCTCTTCGTTCACTGTGGGAAGCCACCAAACTGTCCAGTTTCGACCCCCAGACAACCAACAAAAGCCAGGAACGCTGAAACAGTCCCGCAATGGAAGACATGGAACGCTGAAACAAACCAACCGAGAATCATTGATACGTCGTGTTTTCACACGGTCATAGTTTGTGCTGGCGGCGTCATTCACGACCCCGCTGCTTTTGAGGCTTTGCACACGATTTTGTGCGGTATTTACGGCACTTTGTAGTTTCGCGTGGTATTTACAGGTCTTTTTGACATTCGTGTTCGTCATGCACATCATAGCATGTGGGGGGGGTGGGGTGGGGTGGGGTTGGGATGTTAACGTTCGGTTCAAATTGCACACCCGTACAAAGGAAACTTGTCTACGCTCTGCACACCAATATATGTATACACGAAGCGTGCTGTGTTGCGCACACATGTTTTCTTGCACGCATGCGTGTTTCAAACCCGTCTGTTTTTTTTTTCAAACCTAACCTTAGATTTTATCAGTCTTCTATGGCCATGCGTGGATAAGCATACAGCAAGGGTGGTCTGGGATCCCACATGATCAACGCCCATCCAGCGTGCCATTTCAAACCTTTTGGCCAATCCTTAACATTTCCCAAACACTCCATGTATGGCATATTGACCTACATTGGAATGGTTTCAGGAGTCAATGTAGGCAAATATTCCTTACATGGAGTGCTGGGATATTTGGTGGCTGGACCGTTTTGGGTCAACACAACTCACTGAGATGTGTTTTTTCGTCGTTGATCCGGACGCAGTTTTGTTGCTCGTATGGCGTAATTTCCTGTGTTTCCGCTTTAGCTTTGCCTTTCGTTGTGTTGTTGAAGTTAGGGGGTGGACAGGGGTGGATCAGCTCCCCAAATCATTGCAATCATGGTTTGAGGTAGACCCGTGGTATCTTGATAGCTTGTTGAAAACCTGGAGTGAAAGTTCCACCGCTGATCCGCTGCTTCTTGAAGTGTTGCATATAGCTCTGCAGCAATTTATGTTGGTGACCAATTTTGTTTTTCGGACCGAAACATTGTACAATCATTTACACAATGGAATTCCGACAAAATTGTTCATTCTCCTGCAAATAACAGCAAACCTTTAAAAAAATCGTTTTCGTGGAGTTTTCATGTTTGGAATACTAAAAAACAGCGGGGTCATTAATGACGCCGCTACCTAGTTTGTTCAGGGGCCTACGCAACATTTGCAGAGTGGAACGTCCGTGAAAGTCTGCAACGTGCAGGTACCTTTTGAGCACATGATAGTACTGCAATGAACTATTTACATCTATTATATTCCAATCCCCAGAACTAGTTGGAGGTGGACTGTGGACCTTTTTTTTTGTTCGATTTGAGTCCTTGCTTTTTCGCACGCGGCCTGTGCTCATTCACTTTGCCTTCTCGAAGGCACCAGTTCATCTCGTTTTCTTCTTCGTCTGTTGATTTTCCAAGCATCAGACAAGGATCGTATTGACCCCCCAAATAAGGGGATCAAAAGAAAACCCAACCACTACACCTAATTACAGCCAAAGAGTTTGAGGCATATCACACGAAACACATGAACCCCCAGCAAGCCGACGTTTGCCTAGTGCTTAGCGCTTGGACGTTTCGGCAGGTTCTCTGGCAAAGTCGTGGTCCCAGTTTACCAGATCGCAGCATGAGGCACGAATTCGCCGAACTCGGAGGTTCAGTCTAAACGAGGTAGAAAACCATTTCTAAACACGGAGGGTTCAGCCAGAGTGAATCCACGTTCAAGTTACAGACTGCATGCATGTGTGCGAAACATGTGCGCGAGTATGTCCCCTGTTGTGCTCTACTTGAGCATTGACTGACTGGGGTCAGGATCGAGTACGGTGCAGCTGTAGTCCTATTCGACTTCACCTACCAAATACAGCTCGAAGCTGGGATGAACATGATTGCACCTTGGCTGGAGGTTGTGTGTCAGCCACGCCTTGTGAATCGTTAGACACTTTGCTGAAGATACACAGAATCGTCGCAAGCCTGCTGTTGTGTGGCCGGCAGTCTGACCAGGCACTTCTGCCTAGATGGCGAATGGAGTTTTGACCCAGAGCCAAAGGGCACCAAGACTGACCGACGTCATTGAAAGTAAGTTGACATAAGTTGACTGTCGTTTCCTGCCTACCTTTTGACCATCATGTTGGCATATGGTTGTGTTGTTGGTCCTGGAATGTTCAAAAAGGACTTGGTGAAACCATGCATTCTTTTGCCTCAAATTGTACCTGTATTTGCGCAGTAGCCACCAAGAGCAACAAGATCAGGCGTTGTGACATTGGTTGGCACAAGCATTCTTTCCCAAAACTATCAAGTCAAGTGTTTAATGCATGTGTGCACATTTTGTGTGACTGAGTGCATGTGTGACTTACATTGATGTGCTAGTAACGGACAGACCCGCAAACTTGATGTCAGATGTTTCCAATTGCTGATTTGCCAATCTGCAAGAAACAGTCAAGATCAATCGCGTTTTGTGTCTGGCTTCAAGTGAAAAGAGGTCCACATGGACTCATTGATTTCTATCGAAACACTGAAAGCCCTTTATACGTAATGGATATACAAATATTAGTTATTGTGTGTATTTATGTATATTTATGGATATCTTGGAAACGCGTGATCCACGATGAATCTTAAGCGTGAGCCAAAAAAGAGAGATCTCTCAAGGTGATCACCTCAACGATCTTTTTGAGTCTTGGAGAGAAAAGGAAGTGCCATTTGGTGGTGAAGAGAAAGTACCAAGATTTTGTTCAAAACGAGTGTTTTAACTCATTCTCTATCTTTCATTCGCTTTTTGTTTTGTTGCGTCTTCGTTTTGTCAAGAAGCGCAGAAGAGCTTTACCAAAATTTGCAAAAGCGGCAGTCAGACCACCCGACCACCTGGCTCGCATGCGCTCGCGTCAAACGCGTGACCGAGTTTGCGTCTGAGGATGGTGATATTTTCCCTCTTGATCTCCAGAGCTGTGTCCAAACATGCACTGACGCCTTTGGAAATCCTCTTGATGAAAGTCAGGCTCATCTGGGATGGAGCTGGTAGCAGATTCGGGAGTGTTTACAAAGGTGCCTGATTCTGAACCTGATGATTCTTTAGATTCTTTAGTAGGTTCGGATAATTGTTCTTCCAAACCTCAATGCATACTGCCCGGACCTGAAAAAAGGCTTTCTTCACTCTGAACTTGAACTGCCGAACTTCGGCAAGATTTTTTTACAGTGGTTTCAGAGCAGATGGCACAGACCTCTTGATGGTTAATACAAACCACCTCTTGGGGTCTGTGCCATCTATTCTGAAACCACTGTCTGTTTTAAAAAAATCGGATGCAATGCTTCTTCCGTGCGCCAGGAAGATCGGACGGCTGATTTGGCTCCAGGTGGAGTCTCTTCAAGTGCACTTGAGAGCCTTGGCATGAGGCTTTCCAGTCCATCGACGTGGATGGCATGGCGCATGGCCCCCCCCCGGATGGAAGACGATGTTTCGGAAAACCCACCGGAGGGGTGGGTGTCCAATTCTTCGATGTGACGTGTGCGTCGGAGCGTAGTAACTGGGAGGGTATTGAAAAGAGTTCATGTTGGAAGGAACGCCGTCATAGTCTCTATCATGTGCCTAACTGTTTGGAGGCATCATCGAGACATATTGAGACATTCCAGATTCCAGAACCAGGCCTCGTATTGCAACCCGAGAGCATTGGCTGAGCCGTCTTCTACTGTTCCAACTTTGAGAAGGCTCCGCGGAGCTTTCCTGCCCTGAAATCATAAATCTTGCCAGTGATAGCTAGACCCCAGAGCAGTCCTTCTCCCAAGCATTTCCTCCTCAAGAATCCACCCCAAAGGTTGAATCCGATCGTGGCCGCCTCTCTTTGCGGCTGCCTGCAGAAGTCTCTCCACGGGGTGTTTTCTCTTTTCGATTTCCCTAGGCAAAGGCAAGTCTCAAAGCGCTGGCAATGACTTCCAGGATGCGGACGAGACAGCTCCCTGGCGAGCGGTTTGGGCGGGCGGAAGCGGGCGGGCAAGCAGCCGGCGGGCGTGGCTTGGGCGAGGATGCGGCTCTTTGACTGGGTTGAGCGATGCAAGATGTGTCTGGGTGAGATTCGAGTGAAGTCACCTGGGACCCAGAGAACCCTTGGGACCCAAATTTTTGACCCCTGTTCTCAACCTTATGGACCCTTTAGCTGGTGGTACATCCTGATGTATATGCCTTTGTAATCCATAGCTTGCCTGGGGTATCCAGCATCGGGAGAAGTTGAGTCGGTTGATTGAAATATATGAGTTTAACATATTTAAACTTGAACCCACGCATGAGAAGTCATTCTTGCTTTGAAAGACACATTTGTTTTTTTAGTCGTTGTTGGATGGTTTTGCTACTAAGTGGCTACCAAGTGGGTGTCCCATGTCGTCCTTGGACTCTCCGGCCACTGGATGACCTCGTTTGGACCTTCTTCATCGTTTGGCTCAGTCGCACGGCGTTTATTCTTTTGTGGCACCCAGCAGAGTTTGGCCACATTTCTGTCTTGGAGTTGGGGAAGAATACCAGCCCACTTCATTTCTGGGCCCTGCAGACATCTCCAGGGACGTTACTTTTTTCGATCTGAGGTGTTGTTGAAAGAAGTCCTTAGCAAGATCGGCGTGCTGAGTGCTGTGAGGTTGCTCGTTTCGGCCAATTCATCGGAGTTCTTCACCACGGCCTGATGATTGGGGGATATATCCTGTTCGATCGCATGGATAAATGAATCTTCAAACATGCTCGTGGGAAACCATGAGGTTACTCAGTGAGAAAGGAACGATGTCCGATCCGCCGACGCGCCGTTCCAACCGAAGCGAAGATCCAGTGGACTCGACAAAAGAACGTCTGAGGTGTTTCAAACGAAGCACTAAATGAATGTAGACTGATTGGACATCATAAATCCCCGTATATATTTGGATTGTAAAATATTGTAAAGCTTTTTCCCGAATGCGTAGCGAAGGGTTCTCGTTTAACTCTGGGGGTCTGGGGGTAGAGTCTTGTTCGCGATCCGTTATTTCTATGTTCGCAACCGTCCGCAACCGTTCGCAACCGTCCGCAACCGTTCGCAACCGTTCGCAGTAGGACGCTAAGGCGCTGCCATTGGGGGAAGCTTTTGTAAGTGACTTTTCATGGATGTGTCACGTGTCAGTTTGCGACGCTATTCCATTGTGATTTGCATGAAAATGACATGTCGCGCAAGAAGCGTGATGCATTTCGCTGCACAGGCGCAGTGGTTTGAGAGATCCGCAGTTTACTGCGCAGTTCCATTGGGATTAGCGTTTGGAGAGTCGTGTTTTTGGGGTGTTGGATGTGGCCGTGCCATTGAGATTTGCATTTCAGGGTGTGGCATCGAAGCTCTGTTTTCGTGACAAGTCTCAGCTGAAATGGCGATTTTGGTGGATGGGAGTGTGCTCAGAACGGGTCGAAATCATTCTAAACGTGTGGTGTGGTGCAAATTTTGTTGAAGCTCATGTGAGATGATATTCTCACTTTTCGTGGCAGGCACAGTACTTTGTGCTGATTTTGAGGTGTGGAAGTGCGATTTTCGTGGCAGGCGCAGGAAATCGTGAGGTTGCGAGGTGTGACGGAGTTGACATTTCGTGGCAGGCGCAGTACTCTGTGCGCGTTAGACGTGTGGATGCGGAAAGATTCGTGGCAGGCGCAGGGAATCGCGAGGTCGTGAGTTATGGTAGAGGTGAATGTCGCTGTCACATTGGGATTGGCGTGTGAGCGGGTGTCGTTTGGAGGGGCTGGAATCGCGAAACTGCTTGGCAGGGCTGCGTGATGTGTGTGCTCCGATGGGTGTTTCCGCTTGACTTTTGGAGGAAGTCTCGTACGAAACGCTCGTTTTGGAGACTTTGACGCGTGAGTTTTTGAGGAAGTCTCGTACGAAACGCTCGTTTTGGAGAGTTGACACGTGACTTTTGGAGGAAGTCTCGTACGAAACGCTCGTTTTGGAGACTTGACGTGTGACTTTTGGAGGAGGTCTCGTACGAAACGCTCCGTTTTGGAGACTTGACGCGTGACTTTAGGAGGAAGTCTCGTACGAAACGCTCGTGTTGCAGCCTCGAAGCGTGACTTTTGGAGGAAGTCTCGTACGAAACGCTCGCGTGACTGCTTCTAGTGTGTGGGCAGACCGTGTCGCGACACGAGTGTCCCACAAGAGTGTCCCACAAGAGTGTTCCACAAGAGTGTCCCGCAACCGTGTCCCACAAGAGTGTCTCACAAGAGTGTCCCTTAAGAGTGTCCCACAAGAGTGTCCTATAAGAGTGCCCCACAAGAGTGTCCTACAAGAGTGTCCCACAAGAGTTTCCTACAAGAGTGTCACACAAGAGTGTCCCACAAGAGTGTCCCACAAGAGTGTCCTACAAGAGTGTCCTACAAGCGTGTCCCACAAGAGTGTCCTGTAAGAGTGACCCACAAGAGTGTCCTATAAGAGTGTGTCACAAGACTGTCCCACAAGAATGTCCGACAAGAGTGTCCCATAAGAGTGACCCACAAGAGTGGTTTTGAGAGTGTCCCACAAAGAGTGTCCTACAAGAGTGTCGTGTAAGAGTGACCCACAAGAGTGTCCTACAAGAGTGTCTCGCAAGAGAGTGTCCCATAAGAGTGACACACAAGAGTGCCCCACAAGAGTGTCCCACAAGAGTGTCCCACAAGAGTGCCCCGTAAGAGTGGCCCGCAAGAGTGTCCTACAAGAGTGTCCCACAAGAGTGTCCTACAAGAGTGTCCCGCAAGAGTGTCCTACAAGAGTGTCCCAAAACAGTCCCCGCCAAGAGTTTCCTACAAGAGTGTCCTACAAGAGTGTCCCACAAGAGTGTCCCAGAAGAGTGTCCCGCAAGAGTGTCCTACAAGAGTGTCCCGAAACAGTGCCCCGCAAGAGTTTCCTACAAGAGTGACCCACAAGAGTGTCCTACAAGATTGTCCCACAAGAGTTTTCCACAACAGTGGCCTATATGAGTGTCCCACAAGAGTGTCCCACAAGAGTTTCCTACAAGAGTGACCCACAAGAGTGTCCTATAAGAGTGCCCCACAAGAGTGTCTTACAAGAGTGTCCCACCAGAGTTTCCTACAAGAGTGTCCTATAACAGTGTCCCACAAGAGTGTCCCACAAGAGTGTGTCACAAGAGTGTCCCACAAGAGTGTCCTACAAGAGTGTCTCACAAGAGTGTCCTACGAGAGTGTTCCACAAGAGTGTCCTACAAGAGTGTCCCACAAGAGTGTTCCACAAGAGTGTCCTATAAGAGTGCCCCACAAGAGTGTCCTACAAGAGTGTCCTACAAGAGTGTCCCAGAAGAGTGTCCCAGAAGAGTGTCCTACAAGAGTGTCCCACAAGAGTTTCCTACAAGAGTGTCCTATAAGACTGTCCCACAAGAGTGTCCCACAAGAGTGTCTCACAAGAGTGTCCCACAAGAGTGTCCCACAAGAGTGTCTCACAAGAGTGTCCCACAAGAGTGTCCCACAAGAGTGTCCCACAAGAGTGTCTCACAAGAGTGTCCCACAAGAGTGTCCTGCAAGAGTGTCCCACAAGAGTGTCCTACAAGAGTGTCCCACAAGAGTGTCCCACAAGAGTGTCCCACAAGAGTGTCTCACAAGAGTGTCCCACAAGAGTGTCCTGCAAGAGTGTCCCACAAGAGTGTCCTACAAGAGTGTCCCACAATAGTGTCTCACAAGAGTGTCCCACAAGAGTGTCCTACAAGAATGTCCCACAAGAGTGTCCTACAAGAGTGTCCCACAAGAGTGTTCCTACAAGAGTGTCTTCTAAGAGTGTCCTACAAGAGTGTCCCACAATAGTGTCTCACAAGAGTGTCCCACAAGAGTGTCCTACAAGAATGTCCCACAAGAGTGTCCTACAAGAGCGTCTCACAAGAGTGTTCCACAAGAGTGCCTTCTAAGAGTGTCCCACAAGAGTGTCCTACAAGAGTGTTCCACAAGAGTGTCTTCTAAGAGTGTCCCACAAGAGTGTCCTACAAGAGTGTCCTAATGACATGACCTATAGGATAGTTTTCTTCACTTCCGTTGTGTGTGTGTCTCATATACTTCTTGTCGATGCAGGCGAACCACAACAACGCACGGTCTTGCACTCCTATTTACAAGAAGATCAGACGCCGCAATTGTGGATTTCTCTGTATTATGTGGACGGTTATCATTTTCAAGTGCTTATTTTCGAGATTTTGGGACAATGCCATTGTTTCTTTCGTGCCGCGGATCTGCCAGACCCTTTACGCCAGTGCTTGATTTGAATGCAAAACAAAAATCCTTCATGATGAAGACAGAGCTTGGTGGTGAAGTCCCCAGCGCATGCTGCCTTGGTGGTGGAGTCCCCAGCGCATGATGTCCAACAACGTGTCAGAGAGTGAAAAAGAGATTCCCACCGGCTGTGTCTCTTTTTATACACAGTGGCTTGACGTATGTGTTTGCATTCGGGTTCGTGGGCTCCATCTTGTTTTTCAAATCAAATCGAAGTAGAATCAAGAGTCTGCATGACCTGGATTTGATAGATCCGCAGCTGGACCCCACAGACTCCCGGATCTTGTTCACTAGGCCAGGCGGTTTTGGGGTGTTCATTAAGGGTTTTCAACAAAAACACGAGGAGAAACGCGCCACAAGAAGGGGGGAGTCACTGAACAAGGGTTTACAACGCGCCACAAGCTGAGAAATACACAACAAACAACACTAAATTCTTCGTACCTCTTTCCACATGGGGCGTATGAACAACCAGGCGTTGGGCGGGGCCCCTGAAGCTGGGCGCCCCTCCCGTACCGTGCCGGACGGGGTGAAGGAGTCGGTTTTGTTTGGCATATCAAAGGGTACTGAGAGGGCTACCTGACGCCACCTGGAAAAGTCAAGCAGCAGCTACTGCAAGACCAAGAGGAATCTGCTTGAGCTTGGTTGGATGGGAAGCCTGATGTGAAACCAGTGTAGCCACTGGAACTTTTGTTCTTCGTCTCCGATTTTTGGGTCCTTCTCAGGCTCATGCGCCCGGATGAGGATGCGCAAGTGACCCGGCAGAGCTTTGGACCTTCGGACGGTCCGCGGTCCCCACCCCCGGGCTGAAGCCTGCCACAGTCGACAGTCCATTGAGTTCCAAGAAAAACATGGCCGCATGGCCGTGGAGCGGGGCAAGAATTCCACTGGCCCGTCCGATTTTCCAGCTTTTGCTGCACCTTTTGTTGAAAAGGAAGTTGTTGTCACTATGACTCAATGACTTGATATGTTTCATTTGTGTGGGAGATAGCAAACCATGACATGTGTTTTCTTTGCTTTTGCCCGTGTAAAAACCCCCCGGTGTGACGCCGCTGGCGACCGATTGGCGTCGATCGGAGCTTGAGGCGCTGGCCTTCTTGGGCGTGGCACAGAGCGAGGAGCTCCGTAGCATGGCCCCCAGGCGAAGAAGCCGCGGGCCATACGGCATGCGGAGGGCGGGGGGGTGCCCGGGACCCTGTGCTGCCATGGAATTTTCTCAGGTCAAAAGAACATTTCGTTGTTAAACAGTTAAACAGTTTTTGAGTTTAACAAACAGAGAGGTCAAAAGGTCACAAGACCACCTCTACTGTTGGTTTCTTGGGAGCTTCCAACTCCACATTTTCCGCTTGCGGTCCAGGGAGACGCTGGCTGTACGCCTACAGACGGTGATCCAAGAGACTCTGGAAACCTTGGAGGTGCGGAGCCCTGCGGAGCTGTCGGTTGGACGGTCGGATCGTCGTTGGACGGTCGGACCGAAGATGGAAGGATGAGATCTCTGTCTGATCAAGGCTAGGAGAAGGCTAGGAGAGGCATGGAGAGGTGAGTCTAGTTATCCCATGTTTATGAATCCATGGTGGTGGTTGTTTAGGGGAGAACACTTTTGTGTTTGGGAACCAATCGAGAGACAGAGCCGGGTCGTTTTCTTCTTCGAAGGGACGACTCTTTTTCAGATAAAAACAACATTATGCTAAAGATATGCTAAACAACACACACAAAGGCACGTGATGCTTTCCCTGTTTGTTTGGGGGGAGGGAGAAAGATGAGAAAAGGGAGTGTTGGAACTGCAAGTCGCTTGGGAGTTGAACCAGTAGTTGAGCCACATTCCCGCCGAGCGAGTTCGGATGCAGAGCGGCTCTACGCGGACTGCTCGTCCGCGACTTGCGTACAGGTGGAGAACATCACAACTTGGAGGCCAAGAGGGACAGAGAATCCAAGAATCGGATGGCTTAGATACTGCCAGAAGATGCAAGAAATGTAAGAGACTGCTTACAACGCTGCTTGATGTACCCCTTCTATACAAGGAGTTATTGTATATAATTTAGGTGTGGGATATGCTCCCTGTGACTTTTGGCAAGGGCCTGACGCCACCTAACATGCACTGGATGCCTGAGGTGCCTTGCAGGTATCAGTAGAAGATCTGGGGTTAACTTCAATCTTGTCCATCAGCAGTACATACTAGATTTCTTCTTGAGGGTTATAGGTCAGCCAGCACGCTCCAAACAGCCCGACCGGTCACTCAATACCGGATTTGAGACCCCTGGGGCCCCTCCATATGAGGGTCCATGAGCATCTGGGTATGCGTTTACTTTATAATCAGTTGTATAGAAGTGGTGTTTCCCTGTTGCATTTGTTCCAACACGGAACCATCCTGCAGAAGCGATTGCAGAGGTTCAATCCGCTTGACTTTGAAGACACAGAAACCGTGCCTTTGGTTCCTCGGAGACTGGTGGAGGTGAGAGATCACGCGATTGACATGCAAGAACAAGACGACTTGATGTGCACACCGCTTGAGCAATATATATATATATATATATCAGACACTCCATATGTGCCATATATGCCATCCCATTGACCCCCCTGGCACCACCCCAATGTTGGCATTTATATAATCCATACATGGGGTGTCTGGGATAGACATGAGATAGATAGCTAAGACGTGTGAAGATTCGCATGGCCCGTTCGCTGCTTGTCAGCTGAACGTCCACTGCTGACGGGCCATGGTACTGTAGCTTCTTCACAAACACTTGGGCCACTGGTTGGTGCCATTGCTTGAGGTTTGTGCCAAGCTGCTCTCCACGTGCATTCCTTATCCACTGAAAGCTGCAGGGGTCACCGAAATGGTCGGCACCTCAGCGGTTAGCAAAGAGAGAGGCAGGGTTTGCAGGTAGGTAGAGAGCAAAACCATGTTGTTCCGAAGCATTTTCTCAATATGAAGTTCACCTCAATATGACTCTGGTGGGGTTTACCATGTACATTTGAGTCATAGAACAGTTTCTCTTCTATGTGTTGGCATCTTCTTGATATGGAGATCGCTCTTGAAGCCTCTCCCTTCTCGTTTTTGTTGCTTTCTGGCGGTTTGCGGCTACATTCCATGCAAGCGTTCGTTGCGTGGCCCTTCGGCGGGCCTTTGAGAACCGGAGCCGGCGACCCTTCTGGGAACAAGGATAGGGAGGCCGGGTCTCAACCGACCGGGCCAGGCGTCTCGACCTCTTCCGACGCGCGGGAAACGACCTCCACCGACAGAGCGCGCCAGGAGATTTCCGCCTTTTCGGAGAAGGTTCAAGCTGGATACTCCAAGACGATACCGTCGCTTGGACCGAGGAGCGGATTGAGCGGATTCGAGGTCGCAAGGGGTGGTGCGGCTGGCTAGTGTCGTCCACTTGAGCGTCGCGTCGCGTTGCAAGGGACCATATGGCTGTTGAGGTGTTCACGGAGTTCACATCCGTTTTGACGACTCCAGGTGTTTCCAGAAGGGTCCAAGGGTCCAGGGTGCTGGACCGCTGGAGTGGTGATTTCTTCTCTTGGGGATGTTTCCTGAGCGCTTTTGGCTTTCACTCCCGAGTCAACTAACATAGACCCGGGTCCGTCCTGGTCCCATGGAAGACTAACATAGACCCTGACGTCCTTTTCCTTTACCAACCAGGGGTTATTTCAGGTTCCATGGGATCGTTAGTCTTCCAGGGTGTTGGTGCTTGGACCAAGATGTGGGGATGGGTCGGTCAAAAAACCGTGTTCGCCCGACCAGTCCGCCATGGGTCCGCGAACGACCATCCTGTCCGGCTGTCGTTCGTCAGTTTGCAAAGCTCTCTTGGTTCGCAACCATTTAGCGAAGCTGAGCTGTCACATGTATAGACATGCGCAGATCACATCTATAGAGGGTGTTTGTCACTGGCTGTTTTGAAGCTTGGAGGCTGTTTTGCTTTGCTAGTGCCCGCTGCCTGGCTTTTGATGGCAACCTGCGCTGCCAAGGTATCACAACTTTAATCATGCAGTGGATACGATGCACTCTGCTACCTGTCGAAGCAGCCAGAGTCAGACAGACACTGTATGTTCAAAACTCTTGGTGTCTCATACAAATCAATACCCCATACAAATCAAAACTCTTGGAAGTCTCATACAATCTCATACTCCCATACAATCAATCTCGTACAATCTGTATGTTCAATGCTCTTGGCAACTTGGTGTCTCTTTGTTACATTGCAATGTGAGCAAGAAGAACCGATCACGAAACTGATGCATCATGTTTTGACCAACCCTCATGTTTTGACCAAGCGACCGTCACACAGCAAATCTGAACAACCGCAGGGTGGATTGATTTTGATGTGTTTAGCCTGGTGACGGTGAATCAAGATGATTGTTGGATAAATTACTTGATCATGCATGCATAAAGAAGAAATCATGTCCAGTTTGCACTTGCCTAGGCTATTGAACACGCGATGCCTAGGCATGTGATTGAGCACACAAACACACATCAGGGTGTCAGGCACAGGTATGTGCTTTGAAGTTGCCCTGAGCCTGCAGACTCGTTTGTAACAAAAAACGATCAGACTCCCTTCGGCTCGGGCGGACGAGTCTGGTGCACCTCGGGCGGCCCCCGAAGGCGCACCTCATCCGACTCATCGATCGAGCAAACAGGTTTATGTGATTCTTCAAGAATGTCGAGCGGTCTTCTCTGGTGTGGAAGTGCAGCCCTGCTTGCGGAAGTGGATTTGATTTCGGCCTGGTGGTTAGATACAAGAACGAGCACCGAGTGCTCTGCATTTTTGTGATGACAGCCAATTCGGGAAGGAATCCGGACTTTTGAGTAGTATAGACAGGAGAGCCAGGATTGGTGGGTATCTAGAACCCGGTGGATCATGTTGTCCATTAACCAACATAGGAAAATTTTATGCGGCAGCACACCTGACACTATGAGAGGCTTGTGATGTTCATGGAAGATGCATAGCTACAACATGTAGCCATCCTACAAAAAATTGCATATGAGTGCTCATATGCCTTGACCCATGCTCTCAAGATTCTCAAAATTCCGCAGGTTTGTGATAACTCCAGACTTCAACAAGTAGTCACTGCTGCCGTCAATTCTCGAGCTGTCAAGTGTGAGTCAAAACCTCTTCCACCAAACATCACCAAACCGTGGAACCATTGACATCCCGAACATAGAGGAATCTGTTCATTTTAGGCGGTGAATCAGGGTGCCCACGTTTTGACCGCCAAGTATCCACGAAGAGGGAGGCTCCGGTGGTGCTCCAACATGGGCAAGGTTCGTCGATTCATGGTGGTTTCAGTGGTTTTGCGGGCAATCGCATGGTTGTTTTTGGGGCCGAACGTACCGGCCCATGTCATTCCCGGTGCTCATGAATTCAGGGCCGCCCGGGCGATTCCGAACGTTGCAGAGGTTCATTTTTTGTCAGACTCGACGTTAGTCAGACATGGCGCTGTTTGAGGTATACGTTATTAATGTGTGCAGCTGCCCACGACATTGGACATCCTGGCTTTAGCAATGAGCCACTCGACATGACGTCAAAAGACCAAGGAAAACGCCGCGAAACAGGGGGGATGGCAGGGGTGAATTATTGTCTTGGTCAAGTTGTGAATGAACACATTTCGCCCATGGGTGCCCTATGGTCTCCATGGAAACGGCTAATTCGGTCTGGCGCGAGCTGGAGAGAGGAGATGAAGTGTTGAAGATGCAACACAGAACATGAGCGCAAGTCGCCATGAACGCATACGTAAAAAAATATTATCACATTGTGGAGTATGTTATAGTAAAACTGGTTGTGATAACATTGTTATGATAACATCATGATAACATTGTTACTCTACATAACATTAAATGTTTGATGGCTGTTTATCATATTTTATCATTGTTTCTTGTCCTCGTCCACCAAGATTAGAACGATACATTTTAGCCTCTCCAGGATTTTGCATGATCCTTCTCTAGATTTGCATTTCTCGAATGCCGGCGCCCGCCATATACATTCGAGGTTCCTTGTGCAAACCCGGCATGAGCTGGCGTTGAGATACAACGACTCGGCACCACTGGAAAACATGCACACAGCCAGACTTTTTGAGACTCGGCGGTGCTTCAGGGCGCTATAGATAAACATGAATTATGAAGTTGGATATCACTCACACAAGTCTAAGACTTGATATTTATAGTATATGAAGATACGCCGGGTGATGTCCCGTTCTTTAAGAAGCGCAATGTGAACGTTGGGTCAACCAGGAAATTCAGATGGACGACGCTGTCGACAGATTGCCTTTCGTTTCGGTTTGCCTCACACGTTCTCATACATTCTGCTCTGCACTGGCAAGTTGGACAGCACGACATCTGCTCGTTGACATCGGCACGTTGGCCGGTTTCGTTTTCGTGACGGATCCTTCGACCTTGGCCTAACTAGTAAGCATCGCTGCGAATGTAGCAAGGACCCTACGAACGTAGCCAAGTGCCTTATATAGCAAATAGTGACAAGGCACATGTGCGTGGCCCCCGCCATGTGCGGCCGAGAAATCGTCCGTCTGATGGGCCGCCGAGCCGACGACCGGTGGTCCGTGCTCCGAGGAGATTCTCCGGGACGAGGACTGCGACATCCTTGGGGACCTCGATGAGGCCACGCGCAAAGATATCCGGAAGATGTCCATCGAGGCGACGGCCAAACTTGTTGTGACCGTTTGTTGTTTTTCTTTTGAGTCAGGGTGTTGTTCCTCATCAGACAGGAAAAGACCCAACGCAATTTGTAAGGAGGATGCTTTTTGTGGGCCAAACTTTAGGATTTAGGATTATATAGGTATGAGTATGAGTTATGTTATCCATTGCTGTCCTATAGGTGTTGCGTGTCGATCTTCCGGGCTTGGGGTCTTCGGGCTTTAGTGGGTCTACCCTCAAGGTGCGGGGTCTACCCTCAAGGTGTGTGTGGAGATGCTCTTGTTCAGCAGTTACAATGCAATGTATATAACAATCAGGTGTTCTTCAAGTTCTTCAAGTAGTATATACCTTATAAGCTGCAAAAACAAAAAGGTGTATTTTATACTACATAGACCTTATAGGGTGTTCTTCAAGTTCTCCACCGGCCTCACATGGCTCTGTATGTAGCTGCTTGATGCGATCTTCCACTGTTGCCACCGTTTTTTGTCGCGCGGAATCGGAGAGTCGCAATTCTCCAACAGACGCCATGTCATACTTCCAAGTAGCGGGGAAGACGATATGCCTGGAAATAAATTGACGAACCGTAACCAATCCCTCACAGATTCCGAATCGTCACACCAAATTGATCGGTACAAAGCAGCGCCCACACCGCTTCATATGGAAAAACACTGCAAACGGTGTGGGCCAAAGGATGGTGTGGTTCTTGGGACTCAAATTTTTGGTCCTCCGAAAGTAGTCCTGTCTCGAGGCGATCTTGCACACGGACAACAGCTGCCATTTCAATGCCTGCGCCTCAAAAGATGTGAGCTTTGACCACTCAAAGCAGAGCGTTTTTATAGCGCGCAGCAGGTCTGCGGTCATTCATCCTTGAGGAGTCCCGTAAGAGGTCGCTCCGGTTTACGGTACCACCCAAGCCACCAGACCTATGGGATGATTGGGAGTAGAGTCCTGATGAGGGCTTCAAGGTTGACGCGCGGTCTTGATGCAGACACAAGACAGTTGCTGTTCATTCTGTTTGCAAAAGAGAGAGCATGATGAAGTTATTCTGTGCAAGCTGCAAACCTAACATTGCTTCTTGAAGAATCTTGAAGACATGTTTGATCAACGCACCGCTTCGACATTCTTTGACATCTATGTCTTCCTCAGGAAGTGAAGGCTCTGCAGATGATCCATGAGGTGCATGATGAGGAGTTCAAGAACACAGTCTCGACGCCCCTTGGAGAGTTTTCACTGGGCAACAGCGCGCCGCAGCGCGGCTGTATGACTGGTATCCTCACCCGAAGCGCGGCCCGGGTAGTTGAGGGTACGCCTGTTGAGTTCCGCGAACTCGCCACCTCGGGTTCAGGTACATCCCAGGAGATGATCAAAGTGAGTGGCCAGTTCAGGACAGCAGATTGATTTCAATTTTGTCCAATGTCAATCAATGTCCAGCGCTCAGTTCGCGGTCCGGGTTCCTCAGCCATGGAAGCACTGCGCTGCACAGGAGATCGTCGAGATCTTTGGAGAAAAGGAAACGCATGATACGATCAGGCGGGATGTTGTGCAGAATGTGCAGCTCCAAGCATGTACCCTCTGGCTCACGTTCCATGGAAATGGAGTTCACCAGCTGTTTTTAGAGGATTTCATGGTCTTCCCAGTGGCCATTGTCCATTTCCATGGAACGTGAGTCGGAGTGCAGATTTGTTTTGACAGCTTGCAGCATGTGTGGCCTTGTGTTAAAGTATGTTGGAGACTCTCTGTGCGTAGCCAGTGTCAGACTTGGACGGGAAATGCCTCTCGCCTCTAACGTTCAACGATCCAAGAAACACTCAGATACTGGGGCATCAGTGAGAGTGGCAATGGAAGACCCGAAGACCATGAGAACATGCTACAGTGGTGGTGGGTATCCGCATGGCTTTTGGGCAGATGGAGACACCAAGTGTCCATGCAAGGTGTGAGTATGGTTTGGCACCATGAAAAGGGCCATGGCTCAATAATGGGGCACCAGCCACAGTACAATATGTCCAGAAATTATTCCATTTGTTGCAGCTGCGCATAGCTTCGCTGCGCTGTGCTTCAGGAATGTCCTGCTACATTTCGCAGACATCTCCAACTCGATGAAGCCTTTCACCATTTCACGAAGCTTGCCCAAGTAAACATGGTCCAAATGTACATGAAATAGGAGGATAGAAGGATATATAAATAGAAGGCAAGACTAAGACAAGAATCGAAGAAAATGCAAATGCTTTGGGACGAAACTGGCGTGAGAACAATGGACTTGAAGAGCAGATGTTTTACTAAAGCTGACTTGAACACACATATTGTATACAGTATACAGTTAGTCGTTCTCGATACTTTTCTTTTGTCGGGCATCAGGAAGCACGCAGCGGTCTTGTCCACGTTTGACCGTCGCCCCATTCCCACTTCACCTGAGTTCGTCGGAGGTGTGAAGGCTTTGACCGAACACAAAATCGCAACATTGAAATGCTGTGAATCTGAAGTTAACTGAGGATTTCACAGATCTTAAATTTCACAGACTCATTCCCAAATTAGATCTTAAATCTGAAAAAGTGATCTATTTCATTCCCAAATGAGCGAAGGGTTCTCGTTGGACTCTGAGGGACTTGAGGGTGAGCGGTTCCCGCGTTCGCTCGCTTCGCGCTTCGAACATCAACCGTTCCCGGTGAGATCAATATGGCCCTCCCATTGGGGGAGGAGGTCTTGAATGGATTATTTCTCCAAGTGTGCGGTATCAATTTGCTGCGTAGGCACACGTGAGCCCCGAGGTCGGCAGTTTGTGGAGTTTCCCTTGTCGGTTTTTGGAAGGTCTCGAATGTCGCTGTGCCATTGGGAATTGCTCTTAGAGCCGCTGCCGTCGAAGCTGCGATTTGGGTGGATGCATGAGGTGGGAAAGCGTTGAAATAAATTCAAGATATTCCAAGCATTGTGGTGGAGTGCAACGACACTTGCTATACTGCTATACACACGAAGGCGCGGGTGACTTTTCAGAAGAGGCGCAATCCTTTGGACGTGTGGCAGGTGTCAATGTTTGTGGCAGGCGCAGCGGGCGTGTGAGGTTGGTGGCTTTCTTCGTTGCACTTTGAGTTTGAGAGGACAGTCTTTGGAAGTCCTTGGCCGGGCTGCATGACAGGTGCGCTCGAGCGGTGAAATTCCGAGCCACCTCTTGCGCAGGCTTCTTGGATAGTTCCTCCGTCCTCCACCGGTGACGTGGGAAGTGGGACATCTCCAACGTGCCATCGCATGTCAACGGTGCGACCGCAGCGGTTCCGTCAACGTGCGACCGCGACCAACACCAACACCAACACCGCTGACGCCCTCTGCACGTCCGACCAGAGTGTCCTAGAGTGTGGCACGAGAGTCGACGCATCGCATCGGTCGCGCCAGCGCCAGCGCTTCCGCACCGCAGCCCTCGGTGCATCAGCCCTCATCTCGCACCTGAGACCACAACCCAAAAGACCCGGACCCCACTCCTCTAGTGCAGCTGGAGCATAGTCGGACAAACTATCGTGCGTCACCAACCGACGCCTGAAGCCTGACCCAACCAAGCTAGAAGGGAGGGCGAGAACGCTTGGAGGTGTCACGATTTTGGCTCGGAGGTGTCACGCGTTCTTGAAACCTAGCAAATCAAAACAGGGTTTTCAAATCATTTGTTTCACACATGCTTGGTGAACACGGCATGGTAGCAACATGGTAGCAACATGAAGCGTCGTGAACATGTTGCTCACATTGAGCTCAGGAAGAACACTGTCATGTTGTGCATCCCAAAAGTTGTTTTTTGGGTTCTGACGGTCACTGACGGTTTGATGAGACAAAAACCGTCAGAACGTTGCATGACGTGGCGATTGGTCAAGATATCGAATTGCAAGAGGTCAGGTGGCCACCAAGTCATGCCCCCAGCCAGCTTGCTTGAACGCAGAATGGCTACAACATCGGTGCCAGGACCCCTTTAGTACGTATTTGATTTGTGAATACCATCTATAGTCTATAGCCTATAGCATGATTAGCATGTCAGTGCAATACAACAACCATACAGACAACCCCACATATTCCCACTCTTTTGACCAGCCACGGTCACCGCTGGAAACACTCGCGGACCGCTGGACGGACCGGAGTTGTTCGGCCGTGTTCGGCTGACCCTCCCGGTGTGTTCGGCTCAAGGACTATGGGCCGACCTGGTCTTGGAGGAGTCTCTTGGCCACTTCAATTCGGACCCAAGATTCTGAATGTAGAAAAGGATAAACAAGTGAATCCGGAGTGAATGCAGTTTGTTTTTTTCGGGTCTGAACCAAAAACTTAAGGTAAAATACTCTGACTAACTTATCACTTAACAGTAGTATTATTGTTCAAATCTTAGAGTTTTGAACACCAGGTGTTGTTGTCTTTGTGTGGCGACCACATGTACACGCCACGGGCCGGTTTTTTGTACCCACAACTGCTGCTGACTCAGACTGACTCAACGTCAGTCTATTCTTCGTCTTCCGTGTCTTGCTGGGCGGCCTACCGTCACTCTCGGGTAGAACTGTGAGTATTTGTCACCTTACACCTTACTCAAGTCCTTACTTCGGGTATCGGATTCATCCACACGAACTGTGAGTATCTCACTGTCTTGAGGTTCTTCTTTCAAGGTGACAAGATGAAAGAGTTGGGTCTGCCTGTGCCAGCCCTTAACGATCGCCAGAAGACTTCACGCGTCTGGGCGGCGTTCCGCCTTTTTTTTCTTTTTCGGGCGATATCGATTCGAATGGGCAATCATATGTCGTCCAACATGCGCTGGCATAATGGACGCCCTCGGGAACTCACAAAAAACATGAGGCTTCTCCTGTGGATAAGGTTCTGGAGACGAAACAAGCGACCTGAACAAATAGTGACATCATGTGACATCCAATAAACATGAAACAACCGCATGTGTTCATCCCTCTTCAAGATGTTGCAACGAAATATCACTCGACTTGTGGCGATGAGAAGGAGCCTGCTGTCGGTGGTTTCAGGTGCGTCTTGAAACAAAGAGGGGTTGGCAAGGGTTGGTGCAGGTCAAAAAGAACAAGTGAGTGTCTCAGGGCTCGGGCTCTTTGGGAGTGTCTGCGACTGAGGTCCAACATCTCAAATTGGTTTTATCGAGTTCATCGTATCACCCTTGGTCTTCACCATTGCAAGCTTGGCTGCGTTTGGAGGGGAGGACCGCGACCGCACGGACCGCAACTGTTGGGATGCGTCATCACCAAAAGACCAGTCGCACTCGGTTCTTTCCGGAAGAGATCACCTTTCTACTGATTCCGTATGCATTGCAAGGCCTCTGTGGATTACAGAGCCGCAGTTGCAGAGCCCCATTGTTTTGCCAACCAGGTGAAGATTGTCCCTCCACTTGCTTTTGCAGAACAGGCACCGCGCGGATACCGCAGTGGTCGTTCCGAACACGTGTGTCGGCGGTGGTGACCGAGTGGTGACCTGCTGGATACCTCAGTGACGTCTTGACAGCCCATAAGTTCAGTGGATCACCTGCTAACACCTCTTTTTTGGAAACTAATCCTTCTTGGTTAAGCACCTGCAACGCCTAGTTAGATTTCAGTTGGACATCCAATGATTCCCAGTGATTTCACTTAGGGATTGGTTGATTGGTTTCCCCACTCAAACAAGGCCAGATGCTCCAGCTTTTTCATCTCCGGGCGTCCATTGGGACCGCATCGCTAGGCCATGATGGGAACCGTAAAATATTGGTTTGAACAGTGGGCGTCAAGCGCATCACCGTCGAAGAGATGCTTGGCTGCTAACAAACAGGAACGGGGTAGTTGAACTCCTTGAGGATATGTGCGTATCTATCGTATATGATCATATCTGACGGTTGTTGGTCTTGGTTCTGGAGGGAAGGTGTCTATTTAATTTAGTGGAAGCGCGAGCTCAAGACGGCAAGACTCTATGACTCTATATGAATCTCTATGATAAAGACATCCGAAGACATGCGAATGATTGTTCTGGAGGTGCGAGTGCTCGATAGAAACACACGCTGGGAGGCCAAACAGCAATGGAATGACCCAACATGGAGATGAAACCTCAGGGAGCAAACAGCACGGTTTCCCCCGGATTTCACATGGTTTCCCCCGACGGAAAAAGGAGTTGGTGCTAAACAGCCGAGACTTAGGAATCAGTCTACATGATTGCCACTACTGAACTGATCCAGGAACTATGATTGCTTCCCTGCATGAACAAGATGGAAAAAGCATGTCAGTCCAAAACCAGCTGCCCAGGTGAGTATCAACAGATGGTTGATCGGGTGAAACGCTTGTATGAGAAAGCCACCTTTGCCAAGCAACTAGGAGCCATCGAGCCCCGCGCGCGCCCGCGCCCACAAGCGCGCTTGCTTGCTTGCTTGCTTGCTTGCTTGCTTGCTTGCTTGTGGGGTTCATCCACCGGTGGAAAGAGTCACGAAAGGGCGGCATGTTTGCGCTCAGTTCTGCCGTGGAATCAGCTGAAAGGAAGGATAGAAAAGGCCTCACATCAGAGTGTTGTTCTGAACGGCCTTTCATGGAACATGTCACTTGGAGCTTCTTTTTGCAAGACACATATGGATTATAGCCATACCCTTTCTCCTATTTACAGCACCAGTGTGTCCGAAGGGCAGACAATGTTATCTTGAATTTGATTGTATTGTCGCTTGCAATACACTGTCGGGATGGTCAAGAGCTTGCATCCTGGTCCTAGGGCAGCTGCCTCACTGTCCAAAAGCCATGGTGATAGTGGTGTTCACTGGTGATAGGTCAATAAATAGGATTCAATAGGTTCATGTCTCACATCTTGGAAATCAGAGCCAGAAAGCAGTGCTCCAAACATTTTGAGAATTGACAAGGACACAGTCAAGCATGGCACAAGCCTTATAGAATTGAAACCGCTCCCAAGGGATTTTTAAGTATGGATGTATTGCATTGTCTTTGTGGTTCAATACGGCGTTGAGTTCTTATCCTTTTGTGGATGGCAGGACCCCGAAACGGAAACAGAGAATCTTTCCCTGATAGAGAAAAGAGATGACTTGCCGATATCAGCGGTGGTCACAATATATCAGAGATATAGTACTTTTTTAAAGTGCACTTTCATATTACATATATACTGCATGTAATATTGCATACCATATATAACATGTTAATATATCAGGGGTGTCACATCATTACTTTCTGGTGATTGGTGAATTCGCGGAAGAATTCATCGGATTCATCACGATGCCGTTGCCGTCCGCCCACGGCCGTTGCCGTCCGCCGCCGCCCGACCCTGAGGCAACCAACGGCCCTCTTCAAGCGCTGGAAGTCGATCTAGGCCAGACAACGACCGAGCGCTCCGCTGGCAGGACCGCAGTCGCGATCGTCGCTCGTGTTCAAAGGTTGGATTCAAATCTGAAGGGACTTGCATGGACACAACAACGTCCACGACACGTGGGGGCAACATGTTTCCTTCTTTTGCTCGGTGGGGCGCAGAACAGAAGTATCGTCTTTCCGGATTACCCTCTGTGAAGCTTGATATAACTATACCAGCACCTGACTCTTCTACAGGTCACCGAAATGGCGGCTGAAATGGAGACGTGGACCTGTTTGTGAGGGTGCTTTTTTCATACATCAATATGTCATGGTGTCCAAGATCCTGGGCGAGGTAGCCCTTCAAAGCTCACCTTGGAACCTGACACTTCAACTCTTCAAGCATTTCCACGAATCTTCACCCGGCAGAGGTGGGACATCACTGAAGGGTTTGACTTTGGATTTCATATTCGGAGCTCCAGAGCTCCAGTTGAATCCGTTTGAAGTTCCACAAATCTTAGAGACTTCAAGCCTTGTGAATCTTGAGACCAGATTTTGCGCGGGAATGGGTGATGGAATCAAACACAGGCCCTGCCAGGCCCTGCTTTTCTTCTCCCAGGAAGCCCAGGTCCGGTAAATCCAAGGGAACCATCGTGAGCCCATGTTCTGCGAGCAAATCCGACAGGCTCATGCTGAGAGACGCCGGGTGGTCTCATAGCTGGTGTTTTCATCAGAAATCGGTCCAAAGCCTTAGAGCTGTTGAGAGCTTTGTCAGGCCTCAGGAATCCAGCCAGGCAGGAATCCAACCGCCACCATAGGGACAACACAAATTCTTGGTCGTCAGACATCGGCCATCTTTGACTGCAGAAGGTTCACCGAACAACATTCTTGATGCACCTGGCGTCCGATGTGAGAAGGTTTATGAAGGTTTTCTCTTTGAGCATGTGGACATGCGTGTGGGACAATGGTGGCATCGAACAATGTCTATCACCTGGGAACAGGGAGAATTGTTTAGTCGGAGTTGCCAGGTTTTGACCATTCCCTGAGCAGAGCTTTGTGGCTTTGGACCAGTTTCGAACTCGCAGAGCAGTATGGCTGGAATGGCTGACCAAATTGAGGGGATTTGAAGGGCGATTGGAGATGAGTAGTCGGACTGACGGGACATCCATTGCAAGCTAATCTTGCCGTGAACTACGCCCTGGACGATTAACATGGAACCTGAAAACGGACGTTTGGAAGACCATTGTCCTGGATTGTCCTCTACAACCCAGTCATTTTCAGGTTCCATGTGGTACCGATTCCATCAACCACCGGCCCCTGACATCAACAGGGCCGAATGCCTGAACTCAAAAGCCTCTGTTCATCCGACGTCTCGGTTCATCCGTTCAAAGAACTGTCATTGACAAGGCCCCGTTCAAGGCCACTGGGAGACGCCACTGAACAGACGGTATACTTTAACAAACTGTTCACAATAGTCTGCTGTGATTTATGAAACAAGACTATTAAACAGAGCAGACTGCATCAAGCTTCGTAGAGTCGTAGATTCCTTTCTGGGATGGGTCCGTCCATGTTCTTTTTGGCTGCAGCGTGGACATCCATTTACCAGCTATTGGTGGGTATTCTCCAGCTGGCACTGGCACGAGTTTGGGACCTAGATTTGTCCATCCATCTTCAACTCCCAGCCGACTGCTTTTATTGTGGATTTCACACGGATTCTTGGCACGCCACCGGCTTTCTTTGGCCTGGCCATTGGAGAGATCGGACTGTGGATCGACTCTCCGTTCCCCACAAGATGAGATGTTCATTGATTCCCAACGTCTCTGTGAATCGGTGTCGTTGGTGACCTTTTTTCGGGGGGGGGGTTCCGTGGTTTTGGGGGGATGCGATTAGGGGAACTGCTAATACATGGGAGGGGTGTGACGGGGAGGTCGATGCATGTTGATGCATGTTGCGATGACCCCAGAGTTCTGTAAGCAACACTTCCACCGTTCCGCCTATTTTTGCCTGGATTTGCGCTGAGAGATGTCAAACAATTCATTGAAGATAATGGCTGCAACTTGTGTTGCGAACGGCAAGCCGAACGGCAATTCGCTTGCCTCCAAGTTCAGGTTCACCGAACTGGCACCCGTGACTGTGCACTGTGTTTTCTTCTAGATCACCTCTACAATACAATCCCGGAGTGAAGGGTCGGGATTTGATCCAGCGAAGAAACCAGCGTTGCTCAAGCAGCCCTAAAGAGCCAGCGGAATGAAACCCATTTGAATGCCAAGTCCGTTGTACATGCGATGACAGCGTCATGATCGTGTGGTTTTGGATGACTGTGACAACCAACGTCCAAGTGTAGAAAATCATAGTTGTTGTTTTTGATGCTAGTAGCAAGAAGCATATATACATAAAGCCAATACAAACATATATACTCACGCATGCATATATGCATATTATATGGAGATGATTGGTCAGCTTTGGAAGTACTGTATTTTCGACTGTAGACACTGTGTGTCAGTGTGTTCATTTTAGGTCTCATCAAAGACTCATCGGCCCTCTTTCTGCGCAGATATTTGATGATATGGGGGTACAGCCACCGATGCATGGTGCATGACACTCAAGCTTCTCCATAACACGCAGTCATCCAAGGCAAACTTCTTACTCCACTCTAAGATGTGGACTGAGGAGCCACGAAGCGTTAATCAGACTCCATGCTAAGGTGTGGATCAGGGCTATGAATGGACCCCCATAACCCTGCTCACCGGAGAAAAAAAGCACTTGCGACCCGATGTGCGGCGGTAGATGTGGCGGAGGAAGTGGTTGATGTGGGGGTTCGTAGCAATGCGCGTGGATTGGACACTCAAGTCAGGAAAATCGCTGGCGATATGTTAGGTTTTGCCTGTGCTGCTGCTGCTGCTGCTGCTACAATGACATTGAATTGGAATGACTGCATAAAGACGTTCTAGCTTGGAGGGACAGAACCTCTATGCTTGTAAAAGACCTCTGACGGGATCTAGAGTAGTCTATGTCGTTTGACCTCTAGAGCTCCTGGGCATAATTTCGGTATAATGATCGGTATGAGTATCGGTATGATCTTCGGATTCTGTCAACCAGTTTTATTCTGATCTAACTGGGAGTGTTACTCCATGTTACTCCTGACCCACACCACTGCTTTCGCGATTCACATCCCCAGTACCTCATCAAGGGATGCAAATGACCCCCTACCACCTCTCCACCACCTCTCCACCCGACGCGACCCAGGTCGACGCTTTTACCGTTCCGGAGACTTGGCCACGTGGAGCTCCGGATCCACTGCCTCCCCCGCGCTAGTCTTCGCCGGGCGTCGCTTGACACTGAAGAAGGTGAGGCATGGCGATGGTGAGGTGAGGCATGGTGAGGATTAGGTGGGGAAATGTTCGGCGTGGGACCACCGGAAGCGGGCATGGGAACCGAGGTTCGATCGATTCAAAATTCACCAGTCACGATCGAAAGCCGAAAGCACAATAAAGCACATATACATCCTTAATGTTGCGAGAGATGTGTTTGAAACGACGCGTCCCACCGAAAGAAACTCAGCTGTTGTGGATCGCAGCTGTTGGCCGCTCCAAGCGAGCCTTGGGCAGTTCTTAGGTGGAGATGAGTTGGTGAAAATCTTCGGCAAGTGAGCTCGTCTCAATTATTGGTCTCGTCCTTCTCTTGTTTCCTATACTACTTATATAAGTGTATCAATTACTTGCTAAGATCTATAAGTGATAGATCTTAGCTCACTTAGCTCTAGTAATTCGTCTACAACTAGATGCGTATCATTCCTATGTGAAAGGACAAGAGACGTTCCACGTCCGCCAGGTGGGTCGACCTGGCGGAGGTGAGTCGACGCCTGTCCGAGCTGCCGGGGAGCCCAGGACAGCCGTCGGCGGAAGCGGTTCCGCTTGGCTTTGGGGTGAGACATGAGTCTTTGGTGAGACATGGGTCAAGGATGTCTCATTCAAAAACACAGAGCCACCCATGTTTCACAAACAAACCTTGAAACATCAGATGTTTTTTCGGAGATATGGATTCTTTCAAGGTGTTTCTAGGATGCTTTGTTTGTTGGCCCAACAAATGGGTTTCGGCACAAGATGGCACATGATGCCGGTGTCCCAAGATGTTTGATGACCATGATTGCACCAAACTGGGTGATTTGTTGCATTTACTCTTCATCGACTATTTTCCAGTCTATGAGTCTTGCTGGGACATCTGTATTTGTCTTTTGGAAGGCAAGCAGGGACCATTCCATAGCCATTCCATAGGCATTCACAGCCTGGATTCTCCGACTCTTTGCGACCAGTGATTCGCTCCCTCTCATCCGACAGCCTAGGCCCGGAGTCCTGGAAGCTGCCACCGTGACCGGCGGCCCGGACGAACATTACGCCGCTCGGCGCGGACCAACCGGCGATGGACAACGACCGAAACAAGGGCCGACACATGGCCGAAGCCGCTTCCGTTGCCGGGAGTGGGTGGGGTGGTGGGGTGGTTGGATGCAGTGCGAACCTCCCCCCCCAACCGAGTGGGGTATAGGGATGGGTGGGGTGGTTGGGTGATTCGATCCCATGAATGGCCTGCGCAGCATCAAGGGCATCGGTCGGTGAGTTGCTGGCCCCGCATGGCACCGACCGAGGCAGCGGCCGTGCTGGGCGACGGCCAGGACGGTGAGCGCTTGGCGCCGATGGCCGCCAAGGCCGTGGCGGCGTGCGTTTGTTGGTTTTCGGTTCCCATGTGTTCCTTCATTTTTCGGACGAACGAATTGGATGAACCTTCTGGATTGGCTTGATGCGAACCGGTGAAGCGAGAAGAGGGCGAGATGCGCATCTCGACTCCGTCGTAAGCATCGACTTCGCTCCACTGAGATCCTTCCATCCGGTGGAGTGCAGCTGCATTGGCGATCCCAAACATGTCTTGTCGAAGCAGTGTTTCTGACGCTTCGCTGGACGGCGGACTGTGAAGGGCCAGCTTGGCACTGTGGAGTTTTGTTTCATTCTTTGCATTGCCATTTCTGTAACAGAGATCATAGAGCCGTCGAGGTGAATGTGGCCCCACGTAGCTGGTGACAGTAGCCGATACGATGGTATTTTGATGTATTTTGTTTTGTGACCCGGTTGGTCTTAACCCCCAAAAACATCCAAAAACACAGAGAAGCAGTTTTCGATGATTGTTCCTGGTCTACCCTCAGAGGTGACTGAACTGCCAGGTTCCAGAAGCCATTGCCAAGAAAGGCTGAGACACAGAAGGCTGCCGATATCTGCTGATATTATTTTTGCTCGTTGCAGTTGCTCGATCGAAGATATCGAAGCTTCCTCACGGTGTAAACGATCAAGCAGATAGGAGATGTGATCCAATCATTTACTGCAATCGATTGTGAACCCTTTATATACAAAGTACTGTAATCAATATGAAAAATATATGGAGCTACACATGTTCTCCACCACAAAAAAGTAATACCTCCGCCATACCGCTCCTTTTCGGATCAACCTGGAGTCCAAACAGCGGAGCCGTCCTCGCGCCGTCCTCGGCGCCGTCCTCGCTTCGCCTCGTTCGCCTCGTCTCAGGTGGATCGTTTGCGCCTCTTGGCCCAGCTCCGGACAGCTCCAGCGACTGGGCGCACCACGCGCGCCGAGACCGCGGTGGAGACCGTGGAGACCGGCAGAACGAGGCATGAAAGAAAGGAAGTGTCGACAACGGGTAGCGTGAGATGAAGATGTATAGACTGGTAGAGAGGTCCTTTGAAGAGTTTTCTTCGAGTTGGATGGCCACACTTGAAGGCAACTCGCGGAATATTTGACATCGTGAGCACTTTGCACTTGTTGATTGCTGCACAGTGGATGTTGAGTGTTAGTGAAAAGACGGCCCTGTCACACCCCGCGTTTTCCACACCCAGGAAAATCATATGTCTGTCAGTCACACAATTTCTTTCATAGACATACATGGCACTTTGTACCTCCGAAGTTGGCAGGCAGCAAGAAGTCTTGATGGCCAGCATCACGGAGGCTTGCTCAGAGCCACTGACGACCATGCTCATGTGAGTCAAAACCTCCCCCACCAAACCATGGGAGCTTGACATCATCCCATGTTTAAAGGATTTTAAAGGGATCTGTTCATTTGACCCGGAGGAAAAAAGAACCGGATCAAACCCATGTGGCGTTCGCCAGGGTCAATTCCATGGTCCGTTCGTCTGGGTTATTACCCACCAGTTGAGACCCCCTGGTGGATTTCAGGGGGTTCCATGGATCGAAAAAAACAGCGATCGAAGTACACGAACCTGAAGATCAACATGGAACCCTGAAAACCGCTCGGTGTTAAAGGAACATAGTCCAAAGGTCCATTCTCAGGTTCCATGTTAATCTTCGGGGTGTACACGGGTCGTGTCTGGGATCGCAGGTCTTGGGTGCTTCGGTGCCCTTGGGCGAGTCCTTCTGCGCCGCCGGCGGCGACTCCGTGTCGGCGCTGCGCTGTGCGGCCGCCGCGCGGCAACGGGGGCACGGGCGGCCCAGAGGATTCTGGGAGGGTTTTGGGTGTCCCAAGTAATGAGGACTCTTGAGGACCATAAACGCCCCCCAGATGAAGAGGACGTCCAATTCAATTGGAAGGGTTTATGGTCCTCAAGAGTCTACATTAATTGCAGGATGTGAGGGATTTGAGTTGATTCTTAGAGTTTGGGCAAGATGATTGAACAATATTCAACAATCCTCGATGATATGAAGCCTACAGATTTGGGATGTTGGTTGTCATTATGTAAGCAAATTCTCTGCCAAATAGGCACCCCGACCCCTCATCCTGACCCCTCAACGATGATATTCAACACGTTATTTTTGGATGGACGAGTTCCCCGCGACGAACGAACAGGTTGGAGATCTCTGCCCTGGACTTGTTGGCTGCGAAGACCTTGGCTGAGGCTGCAGATGCTGAGGCGAGCGGATGTGGAGCGATTGACAGCTGTGAAGATGTGGAGCGGATGTTGTGATTTGTTTCATTTGATTTACCCTCCCGCAAACTAACATGGAACATCATGGAACCTGAGAATTGCATTTTCCTCTACAACCAAGTGGTTTTAGGGTTCCATGTTAATCTGTAGGGAGTATCTTTTGTTGTGATTGATTGTAGTTCAAAAAAAATCTCAGTTGTCACACAAACCCAAGTTCTTTCAGGGAACAGACAATTACGACCACGGCTTCCCGGATTCCAACTAGTCGGTTTGAGTCCAGATTAAATTAGATATGTTCTAGATTGCAAAACATGAACATCATCACCATCCTATATTCTTTTGACTGAAGCTACCTTGATCACTTTACTAATAGGTCCAATCTACCACAATAGCAACCGATCTTTGCACAACTTGAGTTATAAGATTTGTAAGGGGGTCATAGGGTCATACACAGCAAATGGTTCTTGTATGTCCAGAGCTGCCATCTCGTCCATGGCAATCAAACGTGTTCGTCCATGGTCTTTGCTCCATCTGCACGGATCACAGGGGGCCGGCCCTGCGGCACAGGCCTTGCAAGCGCCTCTGAAAAGACAGCGACGTGGCGGCTCTGACACGCTCCTGGGCTAAAAATTGCTTGCATCAGAGGTCAAAGAGCCGCCCTTTTGGTCGATAGATCAGCGTAACTGTCCTCCGGCTGTGAAACAAACACCTGTGGCGTTGGCGTCTTTTTTTAACGTTCATGGGCGCGTTCATTGGCGCGCCGTAAGGGTTATGCCAGGTTGGCCAACGAGAATCTGTCTAGTCTTCCTTGGGGCTTGAGTCCCGAGGCGGGCCAGCCGTTCCGGATAGATGTGGTCGGCTCGAGTTCTGAAGTCAGAAAGGCACAACCAAGCAATATGTACATGATTTGGTTGCAAGCACAACCTATTTATTGCCTAGGAAGCCGTCATGGGCTTCATGGGGTATGATTAATTTGTTAACTTCTGATTCATGATCCACGCGCGAGAACGGAGTGTTTTTCACCATCTTTCGACTAGCAGCAACAGGTGACTCTTTGAGCCAGATGAGTTTGAGTTACTCCATTGTTGTTGGCTTCTTTTCGTCTCAGCATTACATGTGAATGCGCACTTGATGACCAGTAGATCTCTCTTGATGCCCAAGAAAGGAGGGTTTGGGACTTGGATTGTCTTCACCTAAAAGCGATATACCTCTCAAAGACTCTTTTCTGGCACACCTGGCCCCACTAAATCAACTACAAGAAATCAAACAACAACACCTGTTGGGTCCAGACCCAACAGAGGTCAAGAATCAAGACCTTTTCTTTTTCGCAGACCTCCCGCTTTTTGCGGTAGCTGAGAGAGCCGCCCACTTCGCGAAAAGGAGCTGGAAGAGGAGATCTCCATCCAACTGGGACTGCCGCAGCGGGTCTCCAACTGGGCGCGCGTTTCCAAGCGGTGGAGCGAGAGCTCGCTTCCGGATGGAGCGCCGTGTGGCTTCGTTGCAGGTCGATCATATAGAGTGTAGTGTAGGGACATGCCGATTTGCACCTTTCCACAACTTGCCACGCACGCATGCGCACGAATTGCATGCACATGTTCACAGTGGTGGCAAGGCTGTGGAGTCAGTATGGTTCGGGGCCCGAGGTGCAATCACGTCAAAGAGAAGTTGTCAATCCACTCAAGCCAATTGGATCGTCCTTTGACAACTTGAAGACATGGGAAAACACCTGAAAACACTGAGGAAGCTCAACTTTGCCCCTTGAAGAACTCTAGATCTCTCAAAGAGGTGTCTCTCAGTCTCTCTATGCACGGCCGCGAGTTTTTGCCTTGGCTCAGTTGCACTTACAACTTGCTGCTTTACATGCAGACAACTAATTTGTCATAAGATGTGATGACCATTCCGCAATCAGTGCACATGTCCGGAAGATAATCCTTGCGGTGGTATGTCCTGTTTTGACCTGCCTTTGCAAGTATGTCCCTCCGCTTTCATCCCTGAACCTTGTCTTGCAGACACTCCCAGAGTTTTCAGTTTTTGAATGCACAGTGCTTTCAACAACATGTCCTTGTCATGCAGTGTGATGTCGCATGGTTTTGATATGTAGACCACTTAAAGCATCAATACTAAGCTCGGAGATACTTTTGCGCCATGCAGAACCCTCATTTAAAGGATGTCCTAGTGGCGGCCTCGGCTCTATTCTCACATTGAATGTGCCTTTTTCTGATTGGATTGTGTTTTCTTTGCTAAACAGGACCAATAGCCATCCAACGACTTTTTTTAGGCGTCGGAAATTGTGGGATCGACTTGGACGTGAGAAGGTACGGTTCCGCTCACTAAGGCTGTCCGTGCTCTCAGTCCTTCTTCAGTCCTTCTTCTTCTTCTTCTTCAAGCATCATCTCACCATATCTCACCCACCCCCTGTGGTTCACCCACATCGAACCGTTCGAAAAGAGCAAAACAAATACAAGCCGAAAAACCATGGCATGACAGCTATGAACACCATGGCGTGACTACGTATGGCATGTCCCTCAGGTGAACTTCCCCGACGTGGTGCCCGACTCCCTGCCGTGGCCCAAGGATGCCGACGCCTGGAGTCTGAAGGCGGTCGCCCGGCGCGCCGCGCCGTCCGGTGCCGGTGGACACCACCGGCCCCTCCGGAAGCTGCGGAGCACCTGAGAATAAACCCGTTTCTTTCGAACACGAAGGAAGAGCGTTCGAGGGAATGAGCATCAAGATGTGCGAAGATTGGGGAAAGATGGGGAAAGAGTGTCCTCTCCTCGCAGGTCTCGTGGTGAGGTGGCTGAAGATTTTTGTCGTTCAGTTGTTTGGACTCCACTGTGGCGCCAGGATCTCGAGATCTTCATCGGTAGTGGTGGATTTCTAAAGCCCAAGAAGAAGGCAGGTAGATGAGGATGAACAAGTTGAGGACACAGCTGGCTGTCCAATGTATATAAATCCGAAAAAAGACATACAAAAACAATCAAAAATATACCATCTGCCAGGTTGTTGAGTCTAAAGTCTGGCGATTCAACCATTTTTAGGCCCTTCAACTGAGCATGTTCAGCAGTTGTACTGCAACATACTGCAACCATGCACCGGAGGCAGCTGCCCCTTCAGCACCTCCAGCACCGCCACGCACAACTGGCGCTTCCAGCCCTGAACAAGCGGTGAGTGGCTATGCCGAGGTCGGGTATTTTTTGGCAGGGGCAGGTGGAGGGATCGGAGTTGGGAGAAATGCAGGTGAAGTAGCATTGAAGTATATAGCATTGGGCGATATTTGGCTTTAGGAAGTTGGGAAATCTCACGAAAGGGGGATCAAAACCTTGCAGGTAGGTCAGCATAGGTCAACCGTTCTTTGTCCTGATTTTGCAGCCAAATATCTGAAGAACAATATATGCAACTTCACATCGCAGAAGTTGCAATTTTCCGTAGCTAGTACTGTCCCTTGTACCCTCCTCCAGGGGATTGTTGTGCTTCAGTTTTCAAAGTCTAGACTTGAACCGCGCTTAAAAAACATCGGGTTTTTTGAGAGAAGACTGAGCCCGAATAATCCCAATACTTTGTGGCTGATGCTGGTGCTGCGTCCCTGCCAGGGGGGAGAGGCCTTGTTGTTCCTTTTGATGTATACTCTTGTTCTGCCTCCCGTGAACTGGCTATGTCTTGCAGATTTATGACAATCCTGGGACTTCATTTGCCGAGCAGATTCAAGTCAATCTTCCAAGTCCATTTTGATGAATGCTAGGCGGCCCAAGCCACGTGATCTCCACGTCATCGCTGCTTCAGGCGAACGGCACCGCACTCCCTGCTGCCGATGCGGCACCGGCCGTGCCGGCGCCTTTCGGCTTTGAAACGCCCGGCTTCAACCAGGCGGCGCGGCGCCGGTTCCGCGAAGCGAAGCGATTTACGGAAGACTCGAGCTGAGCTGACAGAGCTGGGCGGACGTGGAGCTGACGGTGTTGGATTTGGGTGCTGGACTCGTGTTCTTCTTTCTGGTGGGATACATGACGGACCTTTCTACCAATGCGCTTCTTTTTACGAAGCCCCAAACCTGCCTTGGTTTTGGAGCGGAGGAGAAGCATCGCTTCATCATGCCGGTTCGAGTTCATTGCGAGGACTGTGACTGCTTTGTTTTCTTTGTTTTACCTTTTGCTCCTGGCCCCACTAAGATTTTCATGGTGATAGACAGGACACAGCTCCCAATGGGCATGCGGCTAGCTAAGTGGGTGCAAGTGGAAAGCGAGAGAGAGAGAGAGAGAGAGAGACAGAGACACACATAGAAGGACTTTCTTCACACAAATGCCAGACCTTCGTGAGATTCCATTGAAGATATTGAAGACTTGAAGATGAGATCACAAGGCTGAAAATAAAATAGATACCCCATATCCACGTTCACGTTTGGATGCATGTTCAAGAGTCTCTCTCTCTCTCTCTCGTTTGGAGTTTAGCTCTAGGTGCGCGTGGAGTCTTTGGTGGCCTATGCCGAGCGAATCCGAAGTTTGGCGTTGAAGCAGATTATGGCCTCTTGGTGGCAGGGATCTGGTGGGGATGACATGGATTTGGGTCAACATTCCGGCGATCCACTGGTGATCAGTGGTGGTTGAAGATCACCAACAAACTATACATTTTAAAATTTTGAGGGCATGCATGCACAGAATGGGGTGTTTGACCCAGAGCCGTGTCTCGTGTTGCAGAGAGCTTGATTCAGTGACTCCAAACTCTTGATCCATCGCCACAGTGGAACTTGAAATGATATGAAACGGCATATATACCATTTGCAACGTAGGGAGCCTTAGGATAGCTTGCCCGCTCGCAGCCGCCTTTTGGGTTCGGTCGGGACCTGTTCACAGACGGTTCTGTTCACTCGGGCCGTTGGCTCGCGATGTCGGCGCCCGTGGCACAGAACAACTTCTTCTTGTGGGGCACATGGAAGGCGAGAAAGATCTCGAAGCCCTTCCTGACGAAGAAGGTGCCGAGCACGTTGAAGAAAGTGGTGCTGGGTGAGAGCTGCGTTCTTGGATTGACCGAGACGGGGAAGGTCGTGTCTTGGGGTAAGGACTCCAAGACGGGTTGCCTAGGCTTGGGTGAAGAGAATGGGATTCCAATCGTGAGCTCTGATGCTCCGCAAGAGGTGCCAAAGCTTAAGGATGTGATGGACATTCAAATGGGTCCGGAACATGTGGTGGCCCTCACCAGCAGTGGAGAGGTCTATACTTGGGGCAGTGGTTCGAAGGGTCAACTGGGCAGTGGGCGATGTGAGACGCTCCACGCGCCATCAAAGGTTGAGGCTTTGAGCAATGAGCAAATTGTCCAAATTCTGGTCGTGAAAAGCTCGACCTTTGCCCTCTCCAGCAATGGCACCGTCTTTGCTTGGGGCGACAATCAGGACAACGCCTTGGGCTTAGAGGATGGGAAGTTGATGGAAGAATCGCCTCGAAAGCTCACGCTGTTGCAAGAGACGCGGGTGAGGAAGCTGGAGGTCTTTGATGGCAAGACCATCATTGCTCACATCCGTGGCAACGATTCCGACACCAACTTCGGGCGCTATGAGACCCTGCCAGAGGATGGTGGCCATGGCGAGAAGGAGGAGATGGAGATCTTCCAGGGCATCGATGAAATGCGGAAGATTATGGAGAAGACACAGGAGTGGTGGAACCATTTGCTGAACATCAAGCATGGCCAGCCCTATGAGCTTCCACAAGATAGCAATGTGAACTTGACAGATTCACCAACAAAAGTTGGTGCGAACATCCAAGATGATTTGGAAGTCGAAGTCGAACGACTCCATCGAGCAGAAAGGCACTTGGATGCTTTGGTCACAGCTGCAGTGCAAGAATTGCGGCGGACACAGCAGATGCCGGGCACCCGGAATGTGCGTTTCATCTTGTGCATGTTCATTGACGAGTGTCGTTTGAGAAGAGAGAAGGTGCAGCGGACCATCGCAGCCCGAAGAATCCAAGATGCCCGAAGGAAGGATGATGAAAAGGCCGCCTCCGATCCCATCTTTGCTTACTCAGTGAAGGACTTTAGCTCCAGCGCCAATGAGCATATCCGGAAGATCATCGCAGTGACCAAGGAGTTGCAACAGAGAAGAGATGCAGTTTCGTCCATAGTCTCGGTCGATGTGCTGAGTGAACTTTTGAAGGGCACCCTGATCAAATGCCTCGATTGCAAGTTGCAACTTCATGAGACCCAAATCGAACTCTTGAAGGTCTCGGAAGGAAAGCTTTGCGATCCGATGCTCCCCGCGCTGCGGATCATCAAGGATCGATGGGACTCCTTGAAGCATTTCTCACTCTATGCTTTGTACTTGGAGTGCGAGCAGAAAAAGCTCTACTTCGGGAGCGATGATGCCCATTTGGCCTATCTGGTGAAGGCCTCGAATGCTCAGATCGACCAGATGCTTCAGATTGACAAGGATGACATCATCTCACATGACACCATGGTGCCAGGCCTTTGTTACGACCTTCTGAGAGAAAATGCGGAGCTTCGAAAGATGACGAACTCTTACCAACTCCATGTGCTCATGCTCTACCAGGGCAAGGACATCACAGATGCAAGTGTCGGGATGACCCAAATGGCAAACAAAGAAATGGGCCTAGCTGACCAAAGAGTCACGTCCATGTGACGGCCATTGGGCCGGCAATGAACATAGTCTTCGAGAAGAAGAGTAATTCGTGCGAAAGGTGATCCAAAGGATACCGGCAGCAAGCGAACTGATGGAAAAAGAAAGGCTTGTGCAATTTTGGAGGCTACGGCCACAAGAGCTTTCAAAAGACGACTTCTCAGAATGTCTGACCTGTTCTCTTGGAATCCTTTTTCTCGGATGCTGCAGAGGCATGACAAACATGTTTTTGCCCGGACCGGGCGTCAAAGTGAGCAGTGGCTGAGGGTATTTCCCTGGCAGATCTCAAGGAGCTGGGCGTTGTGAGGGACGACTGGGGACCTACCGCTGCTTCATACACGTAGCCGACTTAGCCCCGGCGCATGTGGCTTTGGCCCAAAGACCATAATATGCCATAATATGATTCTGCCGGTCAGTGGTCCAAAGGAATCCACTTAAATGTCCACTTAGTATCGCATCAAGTCAGCTTGTTTGGATGTGATATGATTGTACTGGCTGGTTGGGAATAAACCTTGTTGCAGGGAGATCTGGTAGTCATAAGAAGCTGATGTGCTGATGTTGCTTTTCACTGGCTCGAAGCGCAGGAGAAGAAATTGGCGATTCTCGCGACGGAGTTTGTGGTGGAAGTGGTTGGCGCAGGTGAGACGATGAGGGAGACGCGGGGAGGGAAGCAGGTTGAAGCTGGAGGCGATGAAAGCAGGTGGTAAAGCAGGTGGTCTGAACCTCCATCCTCCATCCCCGAAGAAGTGGGCCCTCCAACCTCCAACCTCCATCATCCTCCATCCAACAAACATGAAAGTGGATGGCCCCTGAAGAGCCGGACGACCCTTTTTCTTGGTCTCAATCTACAGGCCTTGCTCACTCACGTAGAACCATCCCCCAATATGAGGTGAACAGCGCATCCAAATGGGGTACGGTTGGATGAATCAAGAGTCTACCTATGATTGACACAAGTCAATCCACAGGGCCCGAGGCCCGGTTTGCCCACCCACACGGACCCTGGTTTTCTCACGGGTTCGACTGACTCTTCTAGAGGAACACAACTTGGTCGTCCAGTCTGTCTAGTCCATGCCATCAGGTTCAATGCGGGTCGGCCTCTTCCTGTTTTGTGTTCCTTTTTTCGCCCGACCATGGGTGACGTGGATTGTGGATGGCCAGAGACGGATCATCCGAGTCTCCACGGCCCATGCCATCTACTTCCACCTTGATTCTTTCAGGGAGTGCTCATTCTACTTCCCACTTATTCACCCACTAACAGTGGTGGGAAAATAGGTCCAGGGCTTCAGGTCCCAAGGGCGACTGTGGAGCCCTGTCCCGGGCACACGCCAGGCATCCGGGTGCTGGACACTTTGCGCGTCGAGACCGTGCCTGAGTTTCCAGCCGCACCACTTTTCCCATGGGACGCTTTCCGCGGAACAGGCGGTCTCCGCGGCGTTTTTCCGCGGCGCGGCGGCTTGCGCGCGGCGTGACCGTTTTTTTGAGGCGATCTCGGGTTCTGACTGTTTTATGTGTTGTTTTGTGTTATGAGCTCTATTGTGTCATGTGTTCTATGGTGTTCTATGTGTTCTATGTGGGTTTGTATTTTTTTGGCGTGTACTTCCTGAAGTAGTGGTTGGAAGTTCGACTTGAGCGATTCATACCCTCGAATCATACCTCAAATCATACCCCCGAATCATACCCCCGAATCATACCCCTCAAAACGTTACACGTAAGAACCAGGTGTTAAGGTGAAGTTTTTGGTTGGTCTTTGTGCCTTGTAGGTGTCCATGAGCCAATGGTGCATGACGTTTGCAATTGTGTGATCCATGGGCACTCAATTTGGCCAAAATTGTTTGTGTCTTCTTGTGGGAAGAGGAAAGGCTCACATCCCAGGGATACTCACAATGTTCGCATGTGCTCTCCCTTGGGAAGAAGAGCCAAAGGGCTGCCTTCTTTTGCAGAATCTAATGGCCACACGAATCACACCCGATTCATGCCCGATTCATACCCGAATCACGCACCTCCACACAGTCTCCCACCCATCCCACATCCTGGTTGTTTTGGTGGGGCCTGCACAGAGCCACTGGAGTCTTTGGTGGAAGAGTGCATTTGCCTAGTTTGCCCAGCATCCAACGGATGCTGCTTGCCTACTGCCTCGGCGCAGAGTGGGCCCACTGCTGGAAGTCCAGCTAATCCAACGATACAACTTCAAAGCTGCGAATCATCTGCGAATCATACCCTCGAATCATACCTCCGAATCATACCCCGAATCATACCCTCGAATCATACCACCTATTCAAACTTCCCGGCCCGAGTACGGTAAAAAAATACACACCCATGTGTTGTGTTATGCGTTCTATGTGTTCTATGAGTTACGTATACTTATGTGTTGTTAGTATGAGAATAGAACTTTGCAATCTTTGCAAGCGAAAAGCATCGAAAAGCACTGGCTGGGCCTTGCTAGTTCAAACCTTGTCAGGGTGATGGATGATGAGATGAGTGAACCGACTCCTATAGGATCCTATAGGTATAGATCTGTAGATGGAATGGTCCAATGGCCACTTCCGTTCATCTCACCGGCGCACGCAACCTACGGAACCCCCTAGGAAGACCGGCAAAACAGGTGCCCGTCGACTGTCCATGGTCGACGGTCCACTTACGTTGCACGGTCGGACGGGACGGTCAGACGGTCGGTCACGCCCGTCGCCAGGGGCTCGACGGAGAGCGATGGCTCTTCATGCTACGAATAGCTTTACTTAATGGCCTAGCTTCTTGCTACTATAGACTATAGTATAGTAATAACGATTCCGTGAAACGATTTGGCAATTAAGCTTCTTGATACTAATTAATAGCTTCTTGCTGCTACTAGTAGTAGTGGCCTCCACCCTACTAGCCATGGCCTCCACCTAAGAGCGATGGCCTCCACCCTAGTAGCTTCTCACGAGATCGCAGCCCGGACAACGAAAAAGTGTTTGGAACACCTTGGAACACGCGGTCCACCAAACGACCCGAAGGTATGAAAGAGAGGCTCAGGTGACGTCGTTTTGAGGAAGTCTAAAGGAAAGACCGCCGTAACGTTCAGGCCCGAAGATGGTTCGGTGACGTCGTTCCTGACGTCGTGCGCATTCAATTTTCGATAAGAGAAACAGAGCGTGTTGGTTTCTAGGATGGAGCAACAAAGAAGAATCCATTTGTATTCCTTTTTCTAGTTATTTATAGGTAGGTGCTGGACGGTACAAACCAACTATGGCAAGGTAGCATGATACCATCCATACCGCATAGGTAGCAACGCTCCGGTGGTGGATGATGTGGATTCTTGTTTGCAGTCCACGACCGCACCGGTCGTCACAAGTATCGGCGCCATCGCGCGGACTTAGGACACTGAGATGTTCAAAGAAGATGGAACTCTTTACATGCGAGGTGCGAAATGATGGGAAGGTATGGAGTTACCGTGATGAATGCGAAACGAGATGTTCTTAAACAATAATTTAGCCATGAGGTTTGCCTTACTTTGCGACTTAGATGTTGAACGATTCTGAAGCAGCTTGGAATGTTCAACATATTGGGTGGCAAAGTCGCTCAGAATTGTTTAATGACAGGTGTGTGTCGTGATGCGACGTAAGGATTTGAATCTATATCTTTCTACAGTCTACAGTCCCTGTGTGGAAGCGAGTAGGTTGCTCCGTTTCAGGCCTTTTTGGGCTCAACCTTTGTCAAATCTCTAGCACTGGAGCCTATAGTGCGTGCCCCAGTGAGTATTGAAGCAATTTCGTTGAAATTTGTTGCACTGTTAGATATTTTTGCGACCGTGTGATACCAGGAAGCATCGTGTGAAAAGGCATATTTTATGGGTAGTTGGTCTGGAGTTTTCACTTCAAATGCCAATGACATTTAGATACTTTTAGTTTTCAGTATGATATGTTTAAACAATTATGGTTTTCATAGTTTGGATTTTGATGCCTTCCCTGCAGCCCAAGTTCTTTTTGGCCCAGGTGGGGTGGATGAATCCAACTACCGAAGCTTTACAAAGGAGAGTCTTCTGAGCTGACACTGTTTATCAGTACTATATACAATTCATAAGCCTCGCTTTCTTTTTCAGAGCTGGAGACGCCCAGCCAGTGGGTAGACTGGTCTATTTTAATGCACAGCATGTACTTAAGGGGCCGCATCCAGCTGAGACTGATCCCTTGCTTCGTGACCTGGCGGCAGGAGTTGAGCCGCTTTGCCGACCCGGGCAAGAAGAGGTTCTCCTCTACATCTCTGAGATTCTTCATGGCCTATGAGAATCTCAGAGAAACTCAGTTGAAGCTGGAAAGGTCCAAGAGTCCAAGAACAAATGAAGGATCGTCCAAAGCTGAAGTCGGGCGTCCTTTCATGGAAACAGCTTGCGGAAGATTGCGGAAGACGTGTGGACTTCATAGGATGGTAAGAACTTCCCATGGAGCTTGCAGATCTTATACAAATGTAGGGAACCTTGAATCCTTCGAAATCTGCCTCCTCTCCCTGGTTCTGTATTGGTGTTCACAGTGTTTTTGTGGACTCTTTTTTGTGCTCTCAAAGCTTCACGATGGCGCCAACCAAGGAAGGCTGGATCGCCGTTTGTGCCTGAGAAATATGTGCAGGCGCAGAGGGAATTTCCAGCACGTTCGCGATCTGGCAAAGGACATTTCACATTTCAAGAGCTCTTAAATGGTCTTCAAGGCTTGGCGCCAACCGTTTTCTGCCCGTTCATCAGAGAGTTCCAAATCTTGACGCGTTTTCAAGAAAAGACTTTAAGCTATGTGTACATATGTGTTAAATTTTGAAAAACTACGCTTTAAGTAGTCAACTAGTATACTCATCATTTTTCATACATCTTCAGTTGGCTCCGAGAACCACTTCAACTCTAGCGCTCCTTCCAGTTGCCCACCAGCTCACAGGCCCGGTACTGCGTCCGCTCCTCCGACTGCGACATGTACCACGTGCTTTTTCAGGCGATGCCGTCGTCTGCGGTCGTCCGCGGGAGCGGTCGCGGTCGCGAGGCCCACGGACCGGTCGTCAACCCGAAGGATCCGCTGAAGAGCACCAGATGTGCTCAATGACCCGATGTTGGTCTCTTTTCTCAAAAGTAGATATGGAATTCTAAATGCTTTCAACATCAAGCACCCAGCATTTGATGGCCGGCTCGGCTGATGGCCCCAGCTTGGGCTACACGATCTCTGCCGAAGTGTTCGTGTCTCTTTTTCGGATCTGCCAGGCCAGGGTGCCCTCCATGATGGAGTCCTGCCATTCTGGAGAGGCCTCGTCCTTTTATGCCTGGAGGCTTGGTTTTACCGAGAGACGAGAGATATGCACATATGTGGCATGCAGCACCGTCCGTGTCCGTGGTGTGTCCTTTGCACCTATGCACCCGCTATCTGGGGTCTATGCCGGTGTAATTAATAGCACGCAACACTCTTCCAACGTGAGAGAGTGACTTTGCCTCCGTGGCTCAAGGCTCAAAGCCAACAACTTGAGTCAGCCATGAGGAGGCTGGACCATAACAACAATGTACAGAAGACTTGAGCAGATAGTCCAGCACGTGAACTGCGCGTACATAGGCAACCGCACTTGCAGCTCCGATCTTTACATGGTAGCGGCGGAGCAATGATCAACGGAACATCCAGGGGGCTCCAACACATACGGCAGGAAGAGACTTGATCCCAGAACATTAGAGGAGCTTAGTAACATCAAGAAACAAACATCAAGACTCACAACATAGAAGCACAAGCACTGGGGACCCGTCGAAAAGGAAGCGTCAGCGGCTGCTTCAACGGCTGCTGTTGAGCAACATAGAATCACCACGTAGCAGACCCAGATGAAGAGGCATGCAGATAAAGAGATCACTGATGAATATGCACCCGCTTGCCGCAGCTTTATCATGGCAACGAGGCACTGCTAATAAGATCCAGCGAGCCTACAGGTCTACAGAGTAACAGACAAGAAACCGCTGACGAACAACCGGCAGAAGCAACAGTACAAGCAGTCAGAGAAGAGAAGCAGCAGAAGGGCAGAAGCAACACAAGCAGGCAAAAAGGAGAACAGGAGAAAGAAACGGTATGGTAATAGGAGAGCCGACAGAAAGAGAAGAAGGATGGATAAATTTTCGATAGGTTGCTCGAGCTTGGAGTGATCGAGTGATCCTTCGAACTGCACAGCACTTGGGACAATACCGAACGTTGAGCTGATGAGTATGCCTGGCAGTGCTTTTCAGACATCGTAGCAATAGACGAACTTCAAGGACTTCGATCGAAGACGCGTGTCATCCAAAATGAAAAAAACACCGATCTGCTGAGCTGGAACTGCTTACCGAAAAGATCCAAATGCCAGAACCGAGAGTCTCCTGAGAGTCTCGGCGGTGGTGAAGACGGTTGGGCCACATCAAATCCAGAGACCCGGACCTGATGGCCTGACGGGCGGGGAAATACGATCGAGATAACACGCAACCGATGAAGCGAAGCAGGGAGAAGAGCAGAGAAGAGAAGACAGAAGAAAGTAGACGACTGTCGCCGCACAGGTTTCGAGGCCGCACGCTGCCGAGAAAGCGCAGGAACACTGCAGCCGCCTGCAGCGCAATAAGTGCAGCTTCCGCAGCTTCTCCGGATGGCAAAGACTGCCATGGGCAATCATGGACACTAGTCAACGCTGTTGAAGCGCACCATGGCGGCCTCCAGCTCACAGTCACAAGATGTCACAAGCGGCCAATGCACCAGCACCGCAGATCAAGCAACGCTACGATGTAAGCGGGTGTAAAAGTGGGCAAATATTACCAGCAACCAGGCCGTCAACCACTTACACAATGACTTGGCTTGGTGCCAAGCTCTGGGCATGCCTAGTTTTGGCAAAGGCTTGAGCACTTCAAGGGGATGGATACTTAAGACCATCATGGCGCAGAGCCGTAGTTGGTAGCCCCGGAGCGGAGGGCATTGAAGTGACCTGTTTGTTTTGAGCAGAGACCACAAATTCCGTACAAGATGAACCCACCAACCCCACCACGTGGCCATTCACCTTGCACGATACAAGCTAAAACCCCTCAGTGATGATAACCAAGAATATGAGAACTGAGAACTGTAAACAAGATATAGAAAAGAATCAGACATGTCACAACCAATGCTGCCAACAAATTGCAAAACACAGCGCAACACCATAACCAAAAACATATTGTTTTATACTCGATTGTTGCAACTGCATTCTTTTGGTGTGTTTGTGTATGTTGACTTTGACAAATAAGGTTTGTTCCCTTATTGTTGTTTTAACTGTTTGCTGTCCCTTGACTCTTAGTGTGTTTGTTTTTGACCAGGAACCTTTTTTTGACACGCAACATCTGGCTGTTGTTTGCCAGTGTTCGTCACATTGCTGGTGTTGTATTGGTGTTATATTATATAGTTTTGTTGAGCCCTACAGGGCACCAATTGAACCTATTATATCCTATTATGCTCCAACCTGTTGGGTTAGTTGCCTGATGCGGAACTATTGACACGCATTTCATTGCCAAAATCACAGGCCAAGCCAAGGTCTCTTCAGGTATTGTGAGTATTGTGCAGATCTGTGGCAAGCATGGTTTTTTGGAACCTATAAGGTTCTCTTCCCTGACAGCATCGTTGAACCAGCAGAGTGGAAGCCAATGGCGCATGTGTTTCTCTCATCCATGCATGGGTGCAAGATGTGGGCAGCTATTTCCATGGTGAGGTGAATAGGTGTAATTCATTGACATTGGAGGAACGCAACTGCCTCCAACCTGGGAAGTCTGGTTCAGGCATGCCCATACTCCAAAGGAAACCCCGTCTTTTTCCCGATCAGACATTGGGCCCTGCAATTGGGCTGGGCCGAGGTCAACATTCGGATGTCAGTGCGGCCTGGTGATGACTTGCTCGTGCATGTGCTGTCAAATGAGGAGCCTTTGCGAAGCTGCATTTCCATGTGTTGCAATGCTTTGTTCAGTGTTGGGTCAGCTTGCTAGACTGTCCAGGCTGACACCAGGCTCACCTGGCTGACGAGTCTATTTCACTTGGCGACAGGGCTAAACTAAACTGTTGTTTTATGTTTTTTTTCAGTGTATTTACACTCGGGGAAAGTGAAACATGTTTGCTTGGAATCTGCTCTACGACTTCATGGAAGTAGCAGAGGAGCCACCCCTGCCATTCCCAATGTGCATGTGTCGATGTCACGGCTGCTACTTTACAGCATGTTGCAATTCGTTGCATGTTTTGGTTCGACTAGTTGCGGCATGCAGGAAGCCGCGCTGTTTATTTGCTTGAGAGGCGAGGACTATGTGCCATAGAGATTTACCATGATTTACCTATAGAACATGGCCTTATGTTCTGGTGATAGCCCTGCAAGACTTTGCGGAATGGTCGGTTTGAATGCAATGTGAAGCCACAAAGGACAACAGCGTCACCTGATTTGCTCTTTTTCCAAGAGGTTTGGACCAACGGTGGTGGGGTGCCGCTTCACCACTCCAGGCAAAGAACCCGTCCTCACGGCGGTGGGCAGATACAAAGTCCGGGGTGCCCGGTCAAGTCCTGGAGTCGTGATGGGCCACTCGTTGTGTAGAGATGGTCTTTCAACGGACCCTGGTTGACCACAGAATATACTACTCATACTACTCAACAGGTCAACCTACTAGGGCTTAGGGCTCCGGATTTTGAGCCCCCGCGGTATCAACAGCATGCAGCAATCATGGCGCTTTCATTGCAGTTGTGCTTTGGGATTGCGTCGAGTATGATGGCATCTAGTCTAGTTGATGCCCGAGGTGGGCGCCAGAGTTTGACTCGGCCATGTGAGGTGGGCGCCATGTCTCAAGAAGAGATCAAGTGTGCATCCATCAGGCGCTGGGAGAGTGTCACAGTGCCTCAGAGAAGCTGCATGTTACTGACTGCGTGTTGCTGCCTGGGTGTACACCGAAACTCCGGAGATCTTAAGCCGAGATGCATGAACTGATGGTGTGGAACTTGACATTCCCTCCCAAAGGAACCCCAGAATGAATTGAATGAACATAATGGTTAAGGAAATCCAAATTTGTTAATGTAAATGAACTGTTTAACTATGCCAGTCACAGGCACCGCCTTCGGCTTCAGAGAAAGAAGGAAAGACATGAACTGTTTAATTATGATAATCACCCCAACACATTCATGAATTTGACCTTTTCCCCAAAGAAGCCCATCGACTCCAGCCGGTCGAGCCGTGTGTAAGACAGACCTGTTGGTGCAAACACTGCACGGAGCAGTTGCAGCATTGGCTTTTTAGGGTCCTTCATTCAATTTGAACAGTGTGCCATCTCCATACGTAGTATGGCAGTGCATGGCATAAGCATGGCATACGCATGGCATAGATAGAAGTTATATGGCTGTGGGTCTTTCAAGCGGGACACCCTGGTTGACCACCGAGCATGAAGACAATGAACACAATGGCATAAAAACAGGGAGATCAAATCTTTCGGGGTTTTGACCCACAGCCATATTGAGAGGTCTTGAAGACAGCCAGCTTATGCTATGTCGAGAGACTGCTGAACTCGGAACTGTGGCGCGCTTTTCGCAAGGTTGCCGCTGCTCCTGAAGTATTGTACGACCGGAGAAAAGCCTTCATGTGGAGAGCTCAAGCAGCACAAGTGCACCTTGCTCCAGCCTTATTCAACATCTCTAAGTCTGAGTCTTTGTCTCCAATCGAAGTCTAAGTCTTATTCACCTTGCCCCAGTCTAAGTCTTTATACAAATATCTCAACCTAGACTTAGAGACTTTGCACGACTGTGCATTTTTAGCAGAACAGACTATGGCCGTGGTGCAAAATCATCACACGCAGTAGATCATGAAAGATGTCAAAGTCTTTGTGTTGCCAGATTCCAACATGTGTGATCGCCTATCACCAAATGAAATATTGCACAGCATCTCATCTCATCACAGGCAGCCAGGCAGCGTAGCACATCACATATCTTCACCGCCTTCACCACATAAGGCTTCACCATCTTCAGCAGCTACCCAGCTACCTGACGCCTAACTCACAAGGGATCAATCACGTCGTGGCATTCGATGCTTTTGTCCATGATTGGATGTGGACAAATCCCGCTCTTCAAGGGCTTAAAATATCTCTGTACGCATCTGTATGCGATCACTGATGTTTAGGGTTTAAGCGCCACCCATTTGGACGCATGTTTTGTTCTCCCTGTGGCCTATGCTGAGTCCTGAAGTGAACGCCTCCGCTAAGTCATTTGCCTAGGTGATGACTTCGACCCTTCCAAAGTGTGAGCAGAGCGGAGAAAACGGACGAGTCGATGTCGAACGTGATATATTTCAGGAATTTTATGAAAAAACATTGGAACCCCAAATCCAGTGGAAAGGGATCTTCTGCGCTGACCAAAGGGTGTTGACGAGGGGACATGTGCCCGTTACCTTGTTGGGAAGTACTTTACTTGAAACATCATTTAACCACAAACAACATAGATCCTACCAAGTCCTATGCAACTGTGTTCTTCGTCCAACTTCCAAAAGCGTCATGCGTTACACTGTTACATTTCTGTTTGGCTAAGGCCCTGCAGCCCCTTCCAGGACTTGCTGCTTTCTGTGACTTGTTTTCATTTCTGATTTATACTTTTTCGGTGTCGATCATGTTGGTTTGGTTTTGTGCTCCAGACAAGTGAAGTGATAGATGACCCACATGTTTCCCGGCAGAAGAATGGCGTTGTATGGATGATGGCCCGGCAACTACCACTGGACCACGTCTTTTTGACTGAGGCCCTCGAATCGTCAGACTCTCAAGGGTCTCACTCTGGAAGCACGAGGCGGCGCCCCTACTCAGCATCAGTGTTTGAGCGTTGAGAGGAGCCACAATTTGAACGGATTTTGGTTTTGTTTCTTTGGTGGTGCTCATGTGTGGTACAAGAGAACACCCGGAGATGGGCACCTTCATACACATTAAGTTATACATGCATGCACATGAACTTGTCCAGATGTGTATTCAGGGTGTTGTTGAGACAGCAACAAAGCAATCATTGACAATCCAGTGTCAGACCCGACACTGATCAACATGTCACACAATGTCTTTGAAACGAAAGGTACATCGGCGTTTACTCTGACCGACAAACAGGGGTTCGTGGAAGTATAGGCCCATGTTGCTCTATGAACAGGGGGTTTTCCAAGTAGTCCATGTTAGCGACTGGGAGTGCACGTCCCATCCCTGCTCGTGTTCCTTGGTCGAAGCACCGGCCGCAATGTGCCCTCGTTTCGTTGGAGCCAGGCTGTCTCCAGGCAGCTTGCAGAGCTGCGCGTTGCTAGGGTGAGTATCTCAGGGACCTGACAAGAAACATCAAGCCAGGCGGTTTCTTTTTGGTGTGTGTTTTGTGTGTTTTGGAAGAAACATAGAAGGTGTCAGAGAGTGGATCATGAGCTGATCAATTCCGATCAACCAAACCATGTCATGTACCTTTTTTCCGTCTGTTTGCGTGCTTTCTCGTGGCATGCCGATGTGACGCTTGGACCCAAAGGCGTGGACACCACGTGACCTGACGTGAGTTGCTCACCGTCTTTCTTTCGCCAAGGCCAGCGGTGACGCTCAAAGGAGCGGACAATGGGGCACCCGCGGTGACCGCTCAAGTGAATGATGTTTGAGCGGACAATGGGGCACCCAACAGACAGAAGAGCACCAGGAAGAGCCACAAGAGACAGAATCCCGTTTCTTTTTCAGGGTCACTTTATTCATGTTTGTTTCCAATACTTACGCGCCCACATCACGCATTGATAAGATGTAGGATCCTTGCTTTCATGGCTTTTGACAACCTGACACCACCCTGCCATTCTACAATCTTCATTGCCTTTTGAATCCTTTTGGAAAACCTTGTGCAAGCAACTTGTCTTGTATGTTATATGTCGACATGTCGAGACCTTTGTTCTGGAAAAGGGGCGCAAGCGAAAGGAACATCTCACCTGGACACCTCAAGAATGGCTTCGCCCAAATCAGAATCACGGGTTTTCCGGTCTCAGACACTTCGGACCGCTTCGGACCGCTTTCGCAGATGGTGTCGTCAACCGACCCTGGGTCCGGTTGCATGTGTGGGTTCAGGACCTGTTGGAAAAGAGACGTATTGTATTTTGTAAATTGGGAGACATGAAACCTCCATCATGTTTCCATGTAGACAATAGAACATATGCTAGTCGATCGAAAGGTCGACATAAGGCCTATGTCACTGAACCCCTCTTCAAGTTGCTGGCGAATGTTCTTTCGAAAGTAAATTGTTATTCGCGAAAGATCTGCGAAAGATCCTATATACTCTATGTTAGAACTATGTATACTTCATACTTCCTCCACTCAGGAGGAGCCTTGATTCCTGACTTGCGATGGAGTCTTTAGGCTTCTAGCTCACTCACATTGGTGATTTGGCTTGGCCATACTCCTAGGCACAGTCAGTCATCAGTGGCACATTCACAAGCCTTTACATTGCACAATATATAGCTCACACTTGCGATGCGCAATCCCTAGGCTGTATAGTAACTCTTTTGTTGTTTCGCTTTGGGCCTAGACACCCGCCAATGACGCGACATTCTTTGGCAAAAGATGCGTGAAGGTTCCGCGAAAGCCTAGGCAAATGTGAAGGCCTGTTTTGTAGACCCTTGCCCAAGTTCAAGGGACCGGGTTTGTGTGTACACGCAGAATCCGGATCGTGTGTGCACACGGTGTCTGTCCTGGATCGTTGGTGCACGCGGAATTTTTCTTGCTGCTGTTCTAGATCAGGATGAAGCGACCACCTAGGAAGAGACCGGGTAGTTTGTTTGGACGCAGAACAGATCCCTCAACAAACAGATGGAAGTGGTTAGGCTGTTATGTAAAACCACTAAACCTTCGAAGATGTCTGAAGGTTGCCCCCCCCGCGAAAGTTACACATGGACTTCGCGAGTTCGCAAACTGTTTTTTGGCGAAGAATGGCCTTTCAGATCCTTTCAGCAAGAAGGAATGTTGATCGACCACCAGATATGCCCGACCGGGCCCTGGTGGATTGGTGAACTGAGCCCCAGACCGAGCGCGGCGCTGCGCTCGTGTAGGTAGATGGTCACCCAGTCACTCACCACAGCTACGTTGAAAGTGCAAGTATGTAAGCAACCCAGGGGTTCTAAAACCAAAGCCTTCACTCACTTCAATCCTGTTGTTTTGCCAGATTAGACCTGAACAGAGTGAAAACAACCTTTGCCTCGGTTGGGGTGTTGCAGCAACTACGCAATGGATTTCTTGTGGCCGGCATTGATCTTGCCGCTTCCCTTGCGGTTTGTTGTTTTTTTCGTGAGGATTGCAACATGCCTGGCTGATGGTCCAGCAGCGCTGCATTGCCCTACGCTCTCGTTTCTTGCAGGTTGGAAGAGTGAAGGGCCATTTGTGTCGAGGTGGTCTTCCACGTGTTGTCGTTATCTCCAAAACGCCACACAGGGCTCCAAAGACAGAGCGCAGCTGCATAGACCGAAATGAAGTTTATGGGCGTGGCACGTATTGTGCAACAGAGGTTCGCGGCCACCACATCCAAGTGGGCCTGCGGAACACCTGGTTGCGAGCTCAAGAAGCAGACATGGTGAGGTCATGGATTAAGACTGTATTCAACAAATAGGCATTTACCTTGCCAAAAGGATGGATGTACTTTGTTTTCTCAGTCATTTTGAAGCTATGAGGAGACAGTTTGGGGAATGCAAACCGCAGCTCGCGTACAGATAGAGGCTAGAGATCGTGAATTTGCCTGCTGCAAACATATTGTGGCATGCCAACAACAACAACAACAACGACAACAACAGCGGTTGTGAATTCTCGTCCACAACGGGTGACAATGTTGTCTACAATTGTGGAATTGAAACACCTGGAAAGGCATGAAACAATGCAAGAGTTACAGTACTGCATTTGAGATTTGTATCTCTTCCAAAACTGATGAAGAATTGTCGCTGGAGATGCTTTCGAGTGCAGGGATTTGCTGTGGCAACCAAAGTGCAAGAATGAGTGAGTATTATATCTCTTCATATTCACCCTAGTTTCCAGTCACACTCACAGATCTCACAAAAACAGGCAAACATCTACCGATGTACAAGGATTTACCACGTCCATCACTCACCATCGTCCACATGTCCACAGATCGTAAAGTGGAACACCCAATATCTTTTCCCGGGAGCCTGTCGATCCACCGGTCGAGCCGCCACAACCACGACAGCTGAGGTCCCAAGAACGTCTCCGTGTAACAAGACCGGGAAGCGGAAGCCAAGAGCTCGGATGTGCCCTGCGAACGGCCCGGCCCGACCCTGCGGTCGTTCCCTGTGAAAGAACAGGGGGTATATGATCATTGGTCGGCTTTAAGACGGCTTGCAAAGAAGACAACGGACAAGAGGTACTTTTCGGCGTTTTTTTTCCTTTTTATTAACCCTGCCACTGACGTAAACATCGCGGGTCTGCCCAAGGGCTGTCCGGGCGCGTGTTTTCACACGCACGGGTTCTTCCCATGCACGGACGCAGAAGGGGGCTGCTTCAGCAGTGAGGTCTAAAGCAACAGATTCGATCCTTCATGAAGGCGCCCGTCCGTGTGAAGCGCTGGGTGAGGAGACGATGTGGGATGTGGGAAAGAGGCAGGTTGGAGGCCATCGCTCGTGGATTTGTAAGCTCTACCGATAGGCTGTCGGACCTGGTAGATTTGTGTTCCAGAAATATGATGTCATCCCTAAGAGTATCTGAATTTATTTCAACTTGGTGGGTTTGCCCTTACAGTAAGCACCCTAGATGTTATATGATATCATATATATATATATATTTATTTATTGTAAATGCCACTCACTAGCAGAAAGATGTTCCATGGTTTTCGGGTTGAAGGATTTGGTGCCTCCACATGTGAGATTTGGTTCGCGCAGCGGTTCTACAGATGGACATTCCCTAAGTGCAAAATTGCAGAAACAAATTGCATGCCTGATGGCAGCAATGCTCATGGATCCACTAGGTTTTGCCAGTTGCCCCAGTTGTGTGTCAATCGAAAGGAGTCTATTCAATCTATGTATCAATCGCATGACCACCTGGGTGTTCATGGAGATGTGGCGAGATGCAGCGACTCGGCAAATGGCCAGGACGATTTGCAAGTGCCTTACCACACCACAGGAGAAAGACGTAAGCCAACTGCCCCGCGTAGAGACCCCCCTGGTGACATGATTGTGTTCGGGAATCCTGTATGGGATAGTGATAGATGTGAATTTCTGACTGATAAACCCTTTAGAGCTTTTGGCACTTTGCTGCTCTGTTCGTCAATCAGGCAATCCGATCCGCGGCCACGTGTGGCCCAACCTAGCGGATCCCTTGAGCACGTACTTCCTTTAAAGCCCCAGGGCAGACTGAGGAAAACCAGAGCTAAGCTAGCCTTTTGTCCGTGCAGCACACTATTTTCTTGAGGGTCTGACGGCCGTTCCACGTTCTCACAAGAATAGAGAGGTGTTATCAGACCAGAGTCCAAGCCTGATGTTGATCAGTTGAGGCAAAGCAGGCAGCAAAACCAGTCTCTGCGAGAAGTTCCATCAGTAAAGCCAGTGAAGCTGTGAAACATCAAGAATCTCTGGGAAAAAACACAATGCATCCGATGCATGCTCGTTCCGCAACAAGGTTTTTCACGCTTGGTGGAATCCGAAAGTGATGTAGTTGCTGACTGTGTCGCTCCCTTTGGGGATGGTGACCATGGTCCAGGACCCCTTGCCCGCTTGGCGCTTGGCAAGGCACAGGCCAGATCTAGACAGCCCAGGTGTTCACTCCGTTGGAATGTGGAAATACCAAGTAGATCCCAGGATGAGGTCACTTAGGCCTTTAAAGGGTCGCTTAGAGACTCCAAAGAGGTCACGAACTGAAGGTCCTGGTAGAAGTAATTCCCTTGTTCACTCCATTGTTGGAACTCAATTCCGTTGTTAGTGTTTTGTCTGTTGGGATTCGCGCAAAGAGAGTGGTGGTGCGTCTGATGCCTTGAGAGCGCAAGGAAATGGCGGTGCGGCTCATGCACATGAGTCCGGCAGTCATTGAGAGTTGAGACACACAGCTGCTGACAGCCCTGACATTCAACAATTTTTGCATTTCTTGGTAATGTGGCCAAGCACACGCACACACAGGTTCATGTCAGATTGCGACAAATACGCTGGCAGGTAGACAACTGCAACATTTCTGTCATGCTGCTTTCCGTGTCGCTTGGCAGTGTCAAAGTTGGTCACTGTCAGTCTCTGCAGATGATGTTGCGGACTCGGACTTCGCAATCCAAAGCCCTCATAACACAACTTCAAGACTCAAAGCCCTCCCCAACCCCCCGAGACTCCGTTCCGAAATCGTTGACTGACAGATTGATTCCTGCTCAGTTCGGGGGTGAAAAAGATGGGGAACGGGGGGGGCTTTGCCATGATGGAGGACAAAATGTCTCCTGTTGCTGAACAGGTTTTACCATTTCACCTGGCTAAGAGGCATTGAAGAAGGCCACCTTTAACACATCGCTATGGTTGGGTTGGGAGATTTGGGGTTGTCAAAGTGTGATTGCAGGCACAACGCGATTTGTGATGGCTGGTCGGCAAACCTGTTGCTGCAGGAGACCATCTAGCAGTGGCAGAGTGCAAGTCCGGGTTTTAAGAAAGACCGAAGTCCATCGTACAATGATTTCAGAGGGAACTAACACAAACACCCGTTCACAACAAACATGAAATGCACTTAGTTTGTCCCAAATGACCTGTCAGATTTCATTACTGCTGGCCTCCACAAACTGCCAGGATTTGATGTCACTTTCAGTTGGCCTCGCTGTGCCTGGCTCAGAATATCAGATTCTGGAAGACTGCATGTCCGGCATTCCCCCAACTTCCAGCTCTAGCTTTAAAGGTGCAATCTCTGCCCACGCAAACTGGTGAAAGGTGGCTGTTATATACTGAGTACTATTGTGCTCGGTTGTTGGAACTAGGTTACCAGCTTCTTTGAAACACACCTGGTTGTTGTGAAACGCTGCGAAAAGAACTGACAACAACTGTTTGCTGTTTTTAAGATGGGCATAGAATCACACAAACCCGTTTCTCCGACCGAAGACCTGAACACCGTTTTGGTCACCGGCCCTGACCCATGGAGCGCCAAGTGGCCCTGACCGCAGTGGCTCCTTTCCCAAAGCGTGCAGGAAGTTGGATGGGGCAAGGCTCAACCTGGAGCCCCGTTGGTAGCGTCCGATCACTCCTAGTAGTACGGCCAGGAGCCCCAAGCCCTAGTAGCGTCCTTTTGCTCCGTTCGTAGCTTCTTCTTAATGATGAATGTCTTCATGTCGCTTAACCGTGCATCTTCTTGAAGCTCTTCCCACCGTGACCGGTGTCGCGAGTTGACCCGGTGAACCGTTCGGAACCCGTTCGGAACCGGTTCGGAAAAAACCCTGAGCATTCGGCTCTTTGATTCGCATCAAGATTCCGGAAAAGCGCTATTGATACGGATTATGTTTTTTTACTTATTGGATGCAACAAACTGCAATATCAAAAACATCAGGTTGATATGGTATGAATTGGGACCCCCTACCTGCCGCGCAAGCTCGCGCAGTTTGTTCAGAGCGTGATGTGGCCAACAAGGCCAACTTAGGGTTTTCCAAGTGCTACAGAACCAATAAACACAGATCATGTCCGAACCAAAACTGCATGAAAGGGCCCCCAGAAGAGTGTTCTATAAAAGTATTGCGCGAGAATGTCAAGCCAAAACATGTTGCACAAACGTGTCTTACTAGAGTGTTATAGAAGATTGTCACCCGAGAATGTTTGTCTGTGAAGGTGTCAAGCAAGAGTGTCAATCAACGCTTGGCCGTTTGTGTACGTGCGTGCATTCGGGTCCGTGGGTTCTATCAAGTTTTTACTTAATAGTGTCATAATTAATATAAATACAAAAAACATCAAACAACTATGATGTTTTTTCCTGGACTGGCAAGGCCCTGTTGGTCGCTCAAGGAAACACACGGGAGGAAGACGGACATTGCCATCCGTTGCCGCAACCCGTGCCAGCAAGGCCCCACATCGACCTGCACAGATACCTGTGAAAGAGGTGCAGCTTCACATGAACAGCCCAGAAAACCTTCAAGACATGGGTTTAGTGATTTAGTGGGTATGCAAACCTGCTATTCACAAGCCTTGTGGATTTTCTACATTTTTTGACTGTAGGTCACATCCCACTTTCAGAAGTTGGCTTCAGCCATGGTGCTATCAAGTTCTTTTGGCCTATTGCAACTCGGACGTTGGACCCGATGTTGATTCTTCCCATTTTGACAATGTTCCATTGCTCAGCGTTCACTCTTGTTCGACAACTGTAAGGTTGAAACCCTACTGTCCGCATTGATGTTGCCGGAAACCAAAATGAATGGGTTGTTGGGTTTGGGAGGCTGGTTAGTCAGTCAAGCCACCGAAGCGTTGCTGTTCCATTGACAAAGCAATCTTCGGGTGGCTCAGCCCTGAAGAAAGCACTCACTTCATAGAAGGTCTTGCCGCGCTCTGATCCCCCTGTGCGAGAGGGGGATGGCGCTGCCTGGTGGCGTGAAACACTGCATGGCTTCAGGCCAAGCGCTGAGAAGGATGCCACGTATACTCAGGGGCGATGCACCGCACATTGATTGCAGCGCTTACTTAAACGAGCATAGAAACTGTCAATCACAACAAGGATTCAACATAAGTATGGAACTACCTTTACATGCCATGCCCTTGACTCCACTCAAGGTGCATGAGTTTGTGATACATTGGCAGGTGTCCTGTGATGGATGGTGCTTTGCAGAAGCGCGGCCATCACTCCTCCGAACGGCGAAGGCACTGCTTTCCACCGTGGCAGTGTCAACCAGAGAGCAGTTCCGGATTCCAGAAACCAAAGACGGCGGCACTCTCACAGTGGATACGTTTTGGCATGTGTTTGGCATAGATTTGATTTTGATTTGTCAACATCGCAAATCGCAAACATGTTTTTTACTTTTTAAATAGAGTGTCAACCTGCTCCATACTGTTGATGGACGAAATCCTGCACCACCTCACCACTTTACCTTGGAAGGGTCGCACAGCAACCCCCCCGCCCCTTATGGCGCGACCCCTCTGAGGAGGTGGTGCAGGATTTTGGACTTTCAACTTGTTTTAACTTTCTTACTGTGGTGGCCCCATTGTTAACGAGGGAGAACGAGGGCAGCAAGAAAACTGTGCGCAAAGTGATGCAGGATTTTGTCCATCAACAGTAGGTCCCAACTTGGTGGGTCCTTCCTAGTAGTTCTCCTGTCAGTGACTCTAGTGTTCTATGTGTGCCCAAGCACGGGTCGCCTAAACTGCCCAAGCAAAAACACTCAGACCGAACTTGGCACCCCAACGAAACGGAAGGCTGCAGAATTCCTGGGAGATCATCCAGAAGCGCGCCGCAGTGTCTCGGTTTGACCCAACGCATCAGCTTTTCCATGGAAGATGGCAGATATGGCAGATTGGCAAAGACCACTTTCAGTGTGGTGCAGCTCTTGATGGACTTCTGGAAGTTGCTTTCTGTTTCCTTTCTATTTCTTTGTGTGTTTTCTTCCCCAAACAGTAGTTCCATTCGATCCGGAAGTTTACGTTGGATGCTTCTTGGTGAAGCTCGCGCCGTTCCCCGGAGGCGTGGCAGGTGACCCCAGCCGCTTGGGCCTTGGAGGTCGCCGATGTCGGCCCTGACCAGGTGCGAACAAGGACACCAGGGTCCCAGAGGGGACTGAAGTCTACTTTGCAAGGAAACACACTCGAAAGCTCTCATCAAGCTTTGGTTGCTCTCATCAAGTTCATTTGTTATTGTTTTTCCTTGGAATAATTCCACAACAAATACCTTGGAATACCTGAAGCGCACATGACTCGATACACACAAACCATCCCTTGAATGACTCGAAAACCATTGGTCAGATGACACCTGGCATGGTTGAAGATTATTTGACGGTGCTGCTCTTGCTGTTAAGATGCCATAGGTCTCGATGCCGTTGGCCGAAACAGACTGATAGACTCTAAGGCCCTGGTACTTGCCAGCTGGTCCTTGGCCTCTTTGGCATGTTTCATTCTGTTTCCACTCTGGCATCCAACGCCCCAGCGGCACCGATGCAAAACCACCTTGTTCAGCCCAAAACAGACACTGTGAAAAGGAGATGGATTATAGAGTGATTGACTTCTATTCATGTTCTATTCTTTCAAAACGAACAGAAGCAGAAGGCGTCCTAAAGCACCCTTCATCCCCTCACCGCCAGGGCCGTCCGCGCCGCCACCAGCGTCTTCGGCACCCTCCCGGTGCCCCGGCCAGGTCTGGTCGCGGGCGACGGGGCACCGGGACCTTCTCTTCGGCGCCGTCTTCTCGGGCCGCGAGGCCGGGCGGTTCGGCCTTCGGCCACGGTGAGCGGAGGTGAAGATAGGGATTGTGAAGGATTGGGGGTCACCCCAATTTGTCGCTTCAAATGAACTGTTGCTAAAACTGTGTTTTAATATCAGAATCACTATACTATATATAGTATTTATGTCAATGCATATCACTCAAGATGGAGGCTGATGGATGGAGAACGAGTACTCTTGAAAGGACACGGAATTTTGGTGGGTTCAATGCGGTACTCTTGCTGTGATAACATGATCGACATGACTTGCAGCCTCAACGTCTCATCCTTGCGGACCCCGTCAGCCGCTCGCAAGGCGGTGCCAAGTGATCTTCTGGGGTCGCGCTGGCAAGCGTTGGATCGTGATCTCGTGATGTGGTGACATCACAACGCCTGTGGCGTTGACTCTCAGCTCTAAGCATTCTGTGTTTTTTTCAGCCTGAGCTGCATGGAGATGCATGGGGTTCGTTTCACCAGCGGACACTGACTATGATTCACAACACCTGAAGATGAGGCAGGCTGCTACATGAGATGAAGTCAATACCATCATCGATGTAGTTCTGGAAGGAGGGTTCATTCGCTTCACTATACATATGGCCTCCATGCGCATGCATCCACAGTGACAAACAACGCAGGCTGATTTGTACACAGAGTCTTAGTTTGCACGAGTGCGGTTCGACGGATGAGCAGCAAAGCCAACAACAAACCTCCACCAGGAGTAACACCGCAGCAGCAAAGAAGATTGAAAGAAAGAACCGCACATTGGCAAATGTCCCTGTTCTGAGAACACATTGGAGTCCATTTGCTAGGTGTACTGCTTCTTTGATGCCGCTACGGGTGCGCATCGATGACTCCTGGCAAGTCCTTCAGAGCTTCATCACGGAGGTGTGCAACATCTTCGCAAGACAAGGAAACCTTTCGTTTCTTCAGTGTATGGGCTTGTTCTCCCTGAAACGCGTATCGTTTTTTTTGGATGCGACATGATGCCGGGTTGACTTTTCAACAACCCGGACGCTGATCATGATAATTGCAAACATGGACGCGTTGCATTGCAGGTCCGATTTTGTTCATGTCGAGCAGCAAGAGCTGTAGTGCTACATTTGTGAGGTACAGCGCTGCCTAGTTGCGCACGCATCAATGTGCCCGTGTCCCTCACTTACTGAGCCAGGGCGCCCAGTTAGAGCAGCACAGAGAGAACTGATGCGAAAGAAACACTTATCATTGACTTGCGCCTCCACGTGCCGATGCTTGGATGCAAAGCGTTTAAAATGTTAGTTTGGCAAGTGACAATGGCTCTGTTGTCCGGCATTCCGTCATTGAAGTAGTGCTCTTGCACCACTCACGATCTATACTCCAAACAACACACTCGCATGCAATTCCCAGCTGTTTCGTTTTTCCGCATTTGGCTCAGAGCTCGAATTTCACATGTCGTTTCCTGACCTAGCACCTCTTGGCTAGGCCATTCCATCGGTGCGATGCAATCAGGCAAAAGTGATTCGCCTTTCAAAACCGTTATCCATTCCAATCAGATGGGCTTTGGCTCTGGACTGGGCCCTGGAGGTCCCGTTTTACCTCCCACCGCCGGGCCAGCCGGGCCTTTTGCCACCCACAACAGCAGTTTCAACACGGTGGGCTCACGGAACCAGAGCTTCCGAACCGTGGTCGACGAGGCCGTCCCGGGCACCATCGTCCCCCCACACACTGGGGGGGGGCGGTCCTTCAATGATGCACGGTTCCATGCGGATGTCCTCCGCCGGGCCAGCCGGGCCGGCCGGGCCGATGTCCAGTTCTGCGGGCTGTCCGGCGGCCTTCCGTTCTTCAGGGATGTCGTCAGGCTTTGCTCCTCCAGTGGACACCTTGGCACCAATGGCAAGCCAACGGTCTGCGGGGGAGAATGAGCTGGGGGTCTACTGCACGGTGGTGGTGTCAAAGCTCTTGGATGTGCCTGTTGAGAACAGCATGTTTGGGAAAGAGGCCAAGACTTATCAGCTTCGCGTTCTGGATCACAAGAGGAAGGAGCTTGCACGAAGTGAAGAGATTCAAGGACTTGAGGATCATCAGCTGAAAGGCTTAACGGCACAAACTTTTGCTATCCCCGATGACTTGGGGACTCTGCATGCCAAGACGTTGTCCAAAACCATCCAGGTCCAGGCAGGACATGCGCTGTTTGTTGGGGCTCTGGGGATGGGATGGGTGACTCGTTGGTTTAAGCTTGGCTTCAATGCAATGCTTTCAAAGTATTTTAATACACATTATAATATATAAAAAATGTGTAATTACATGCGAGTTGTATCTAATAATTCTAATTAGTTGTTACAGCCGCAGCCCTTCAAAAAGTGCATGTTTTTTGCCGGAGACTGAAGGTGCCACTACTGTTAGTATATGTTAATATCCAGGACCGTTTGAAGTGCTTGGGTCGGCACTCCTCAAAAGTGCCTTAATGTCTTCAAGTCTTCAAAACGTTTGGCCAGCTGCTGGTCACCCATCCACCTCACCTGGCCACATGATGCCACATGGCACCGCCTTCGGATCCGCTTGGACGTCCGTCCATCCCTTTCGCTCGCGTTCGCTGGCCTGGTGTGTTCGATCGGATCCGCAGGTGGAGTTCACGGGAATGATGGGCAACACCATCGGCACCTGTCAAATCAACCGCTTGGACCTTCGATCGAACAAGCCTTGGCCCTACGAGGCGGGGAGCGGGGTTCGGAGAGAGCGGCCGAGTTGGAACCGGGGGGAGTAATTAAGATATTAATAGATATTATACATAACTATATATATAATAGTGAAAGCAAGACATGTGCAGCATGTAGAAGATCATAGAAGAGCAAGAGAACCACAGAACATCCCAGTTTGTAGGTAACACGACGCAGCTGTCAGTTCATGTGGAGTTGGTGATTGTGTGTGATTGTGTGCTAAGGTGACCTACGACAATCAAGTCATTTGTGGCATTGAGCTATGCGTTGTCGAGGATGAGCCTGCAGCCACTTGGTGAAAAAGCAAGCCGATGAGATCATTTCAGTTCAATTCATTTCAGTTGAATTGGTGAGGACAGTAGTTTCGAAAGATGCTGGTGATTTCGGCACACAATGCAATTGTCGAAGGAAGATGTGGGGATGTACAGATTCATGTTTGGTATTGCCTCGCTGTTTGTCACGTTCAATGACAGAAGGCAGAGAACGCCTTCCTAGCAGTTGACTGGCTTGCGTTGTTTTGCGCACTCAGGAGACGGCGGCACCACTCTATACCTCTGGCATGGGGATGATGCAGTTGCAGAAGCTCTTCAGCTGCAGTACCGACGACTCACCGACGACTCACCCGTGGTGCACACACGGAGAACACCGGGCAGGTTTGCTGGTGTTCTCCGCAAGGCCGCAGCGGGCACTGCTCGCGGGTCGTGTGTTGGTTCCATAGATGTTTCTTCATGTTTCTTCTGTGAAAAGGAAGCACTTTGTGGTTGGTGGTGGTGGAGGTGGTGGAGGTGAGGGGTGTTGATCCTCGAATGAATATTCTGATGTGACGGAATGTGACGGAATGATACGGAATGTGTGTTTATGGCTTTGATGTTTAAGGGGATTGGCAGTTCTCTAAGACTCTAAGGTTCACGGCGAGCAATGTAGATGCCGAAGACGTGCAACATGCCGTCAGCTGCATGCTGGAGCTGCATGCTGCCAAAGATCTTCCGGCACCAAGAACACCAGAGACTTGCTTTGCTTTGCAGCAGTTGTGTACTGTTTTAAGCTGCATCAAACGTATGAAGTCGAAAGACTATTGGGCTCCCTGGTGCCTCCCAGGCTGTCCAATTAGTCCTTTCCTGCCTCCCTGGTGCCTCCCTGGTGCCTCCCAGGCTGTCAACCTCTATAGGGCATCCTTGTGTGATATTCCTTCACACCGCTTCACGACTTGTAAGCATGCTTTAGCAATGTGTTATCATGTGTATTTTGCTCAATCCAAGGATATGAAAGACGTGGTGGTGACCGTGTTGACCGATGGGGGCCTCGTGGCTGCAACGGCAGATCATTTGTCAAAGCTCGTGATTCAAAGGCAATCGCTTTGCTTTTAAAAAACGGCAGCAATAAGCACACTATCAGTTCAAGAGCAGGTGGATTTCTCGTTCGATGCTCGCATTGAACATCATTGAACGGATCGTTCCTGCCGGTTCCTGCTCCGCAAAAGAAGCCGCGGAGCCCGCGCACCGAGGCAAAGAGCTGAGGAAGATCGGGCTCTTCCAGTCAGAGATGTTGACACTTGGCGTCGCATTCTGTCGCAAGGTCGGAGTTTCGATGTGGGAGAGAGGTTGAGACTACTGGGTGTAACAGGAAAAAGGTGAGGATGTTCTTGTTGGTCAACATCTTAGGTGTATTTGAGTGTTGCATGGCTGGATGTATTCAATACAGCTTTATTCGATGGAGATAACGACACGGCTGAAGAAATGGTAACAGATTGCCAGACTTGTTTACATGCTTCCCAGAATCTGTACATTATAGCAGTCCGCCGCAACGTCTCTTCGGAAGATTTCTCACTGTGTGGACAGGTGATGGAAAAATGACTGGACGTTGACTAGAACTGGTTGCGATATATCATCAGCTAAATTCTTCTTCATGGGTTCCATTCAGAAAGCCTTTTGCCAGAAGAAGGTGTATACTTGTGAGGGGCATGGGAATTCGTTCAGCACTTCAGCTGCAAGCATGCCGACGATCCACACGATGACCAAGGACTGGAAATCAGTTGGCCTCCGTGGACTTTCGGGAAACGAGGACTTTTGTGCAGGCACCTTTACATTTTGGCCTCTTGGCACCACACCGTAAAGAAACAGCGGTGAGCCATTGCTCCTCCTTCGTACCCAAGAACCAACCGTCCACGGATGTTTTCAGAGCCGAAGGTTGGTCTTGTGACACTGAGTCCGTGCCCAGTGAAGCGGGAAGGGCAGTGCCAAGTCTAAGGGTGGTGCTCCAGCTTTGACCTCGAGTTTGGAAGGGAAGCTTACCGAACAGCTGTTTCAGCAACCGTTCATGGGGTCCAGTCCTCTCCAGTCCTCCGGAAGACACCGCCCCAACCATGCCCAATCTCCAATGTTCTGCTTTTTAAAGAGTCAAGAGCTGAACAAAGGTGATGGCATGTCAAATAGCTGTGGGTCAAAAGCAGTACCCTTTCAACATCTTTCAACCAGGGTCGATATCCCTCAAAAAGAGGACTCAGTGCATTTTCGGTGGTCAAAGAAGGTTACGGAATGTTGCGGGGTTTTGACCCACACCAAAAATGTTTGTTCGAGCGCTGGAGATGCTGATCTGAACGCTCTGCTGCCCTCCGCTCCGCGCTCTGCTCCCAAGGTGGAGATGCTCAGGAAGGCTCCCAGTACATCAAGATCGCAGTGTCGTATGGCAAGAGGCATCGAGTGACAGGGTGTTTGAAGATGTTTGAGAACCTCAGATCACTTGATTCCAGTTGAAGTGCGAACCTGCACCAGAGGGCACCGAAATCCATCTCCAAGCATTTTGTTTTGTATGCCTACTGTAGCCCCATCCGGAAAAAATACCCACAGACACCCTCTAACTCTATGTATCTAGGCAATATAAAACGACGTCACCGACGTCACCTGAAATTAACGAGCAAGCTGAAATTAAGGTATATGGTCATACTAACATCACACACACACACACACGCAAAACACACACACACACACACACTTCATCGACTTCACAGTCCTGGCAGAGATTTTGGAGGCGCGGGCGGGCGTGGGCACTGGATCTAGGACTGGATTTGCATGGGGAAGAGGATGTCAGTCAGTTGGAGTTTTGCTTGAGTTTTCGGGCTCGAGTTTGCAAAAAAATAAAAAGTCATGCCTCACCTGCTCACTCTCCACACCACTAAAAAACACTGCCCAATTTCGAGGTCGGGAAGTTTTGAAGTTCTTTTAGTTGTGCCCCCCATGAAGCGGCCCTCCAGCCATGATGAGTGCCCAACAACACCTACGGACCGCGTTCGGCCAAGCGTGTTCCCTAGCCCCAAAGCCTCTCAGAGACGGACCATTCAGCCAGATCTTGTGGACGGAAAAGATCCTTGGAACTTGAAGTAGTGATGGTTTGGTTGTTTTCCCTTTCACACCCAACCTGACTGGTTCTTTCCTGGCCAAATCGTTTTTGGGCCTAGTTCGCCGAACTAGGATTTGAGGCCTGGCGGCCTTGAAAG